TTACTTAGTCTAACGATCATTTGGAATAAATCGATGAATGTGAACTTCATTTCGTTTTGTCATTTGTTTCTTCGTCAGTTTCATTAGGTGATTTTAATAACACTTAAAAATCAAATATCCCCTACTTTTTTTGAATAGTATATTTACGTATTTTACACATGTTTTTTTAATTAAAAAAACATATTTTCCAGATATTGTTTAATGTGATTTTCCAAAGAAAAATATGAATTAAACATTACACCAATATTTCTGACTGAATGAGAAGTGACAATGCAAACTATCTCCTGCTTCTATCGATAGATCAAAGTTTAACTTTTGTATCGATAGATCAAAGTTTAAAATTTCACCTTTTTAAAGAAGGTCCAATAACCTAATGCCCTGTCTTATCTGCATTAAGTTTTAAAAAAATGTGTTGTCCAACCGAATTTGAATATCTGCAATACAAAATTCCGCTTGGAAAGTCACTTTTAAAGCGGAAATTGCAAATTTTCTTAGAAAGTCAAAACGTAATTATTTCTCTGTCTTTTGCTCAATACCTCCCAATTACCTCCCTTGTTTTCTATTCTCTACCATGGAGTAGCGATATTCAAACGTTTAAAAAAGAAGAGGAAAATGATATTTTTGCCAATTTCTCAGCTGGCAATAGTGAATTATAGGATTAATAGGATTGTTCTTTAACAAGGTAGGACTGTTTATGGATACCATCTATTTTCAGGCTTTATTTTAAAAAATTTTTAAAAATATAACTTAAAAATTTGCAATTTCCGCTTTAATAGGTTTGTTTCATCCGCATATACTGTAGATCAATCTGATTACAATACAGATCTATATTTTGTTTCGTTTTTTTTATACTTTCAATGGCCTACACTACACGAAGTTCTGGTCGCTTGTACTGAAAGGTGGCGTCAGGGGTCGTACGACCGGCTTTTGACCCTATGACGTCAGATATTTATTAATCAATCAGCGTTGACGTTTCTAGTGGTTTACCCACAGTTCCCTGAATTGCACACCAAGAACTCGCCGTAACAGACCGTTTCATTGGCTAATCACCCAGATTGCGGGTTATATAACAACTCTTCCAGATCCTAGTGTAGTAAAGACAAGTAAAACAAAATTTTGAACGATAAAAAACGAAACGAAAGCTAGGACAGAAGGGCTGGAAGTACGGGTCTAGGAAAAAGATACCAGTTTCCCAGATAAAACAAAAAACTTGATTTCGCCAATTTGCGAACTTCTGTATAAAACACTGGATTAACTTCTGTAGCTTTATAAATATTATGTTTGGCTTGTTCGCATTCTAATTAACCAGGAAACAACATTTCCTTTCATGCATAACTTTTTTCCATAAAAATGAAAAAGATTGAATAAATGCTAAAAAGTCACATTGTGATCGAACTTTGATAGACGGTTACAATCTGTTTCACAGAGAATTACGAGTCTTCTAATATCTCTGTAAAAGATGACTGCCTTTAACACGTGCCGTCACAGCACGCGGTATCAATCATTGGCTGAATGGCGCGTACATTGTTTACATAAGACGTTACTGCTTCGGGCAGAATTCTGCCTTTTAGTCATTTTAATACCTATTTACACTAAATAGGAAATAATTTTTACCTACAAATACGTCAAACGTCTTTATTTATTTTTCTAATACATCAAAAAATGTTTTAGAATTTAATTTGTCGGTGGAAAACAGTTAATATTTGAGACTCATTAAGTCACATTGATGTCATCCTTATCAGTGATTGTAGCGGCCTAGCCAATATTCACTGCTGATCAGTGTGAGACGGTTACTGACGGTAGTATCCTCTAAAAATGTTTTTCTTTTTATTTCTCACCAATTCCAACATAAATTGGGGTAGCTTCCTTAATCATCACAAAATATGGATCACCCAAGTGCCCCTCCCTGGCTCCTTCCCTGGCAACTGCCCAGCGTGTTCATGTGTTAAGACGGTCCATCAATAAAATAGATAAAACTATGAAATATTTAATCATCGTAGGAAAAGAAACCATTTTAAAGGGAGCAAACTCTGACAAGACTATTGATTTGTGATGGTACAGATGATTATATAATACGGTTGAGTACAAGTTAGCGTGGATCACTTCGGGACTGATAATAATTTTTGAGCTTTGAGAAAATATGGGTTCGGAAATTTAACAAATTTGTGTCTAATCGGGACCACTGTGCATCGATAGCTGCTAGTATACGCTCATTGACCCAGGGGGCCGACTCCTTGTTTGTGTGCTCCCTTATACTCAAATATACAGGGGCAGATCCAGGAATTTTTGGGGATTTGCCAGGTACCCGTTAAGGAAATTTGACAGGTGACAATACATAATGCCATCATTGTCTCTAAATTACACGTAGGCACGTGGGTTAAGTCTCCACATAAGCACTGACCTATAAGGATGATGAAAATTTGGTTCGTGATTTTTATAAGCCCACATTGAAATGTGGTCATATATTGTCGCCCCCGTCCGTCCGTCGGGCGTCCACAATTGCTTGTGCACGCTCCAGAGGCTAAAATTAATATCCGATTGAGACGAAGAATCCTATTGATTTTCAGCGATTTCCGATAATTACTGGACGCTCTAGAGGCTAAAGATAATATCCGATTGACTTTAAATTTATACACAGTGTTTAAAGTCATGAGATGACGAAGCCTATTGAGATGACGAAGCCTATCCGATAATTACTGTCAGAGTTATTGCCCTTGATCACTTTGAAATATCTTGTGGACGCTGTAGAGGCTAAAGTTAGATTTATACACAGTGTTTAAGGTCATGAGACGAAGAATCCTGTTGATTTTCAACGATTTCCTATAATTACTGCTAAATCCATGATATTAAATGTTTCGTATACGAAACGTTAGCATGGGGCAGAACTAAAAGTTTTTACTCTTAATCGGATTTTAGTGTATTATAAATGTTTCATTACCGACAATATAGAAAAAATATGCGAGAACGCTTGTTAAAGGACAATATTGGTGCCAGTCATTATCACATACTATTGTCCCTTTTCAATAGTATAAATACGAGGATATTTTCATTATTTAATGTCATCGAAAGTTGTATCTCTCCGGCTAAACTTAAAGATACATTATGGGAGATTCGATTACGAGTTGGCAGTTCTCACTATAATAGTTAAAAACTAGATAATGTAAAGGCAATTTGCTGAAAATTTCATTCAAATTGATCCACTGTGAACCGCCTAGCCTCGATCATCATTACTAAAGTCAGTACGATAAACAGCATAGTCTGGATTAACCATTTAATCGTTAAATCGTGAAGGAAACTTATGCAGTAAATCGGCTCATAATCCACCAAAGACCGCAGGCTAGCGATGCCATCTAGAGTTGATTATGACCTGGATAAGTTAATTAATGTCTAATTAATAATTTATATAATATTTCAAGCCTTAAGAAAGACCTGCAATAGACAGATTTAGCTCTTGCATAATGTATGTTTAAATATACCAACAGGAAGGATGATGTGTCTCTAATTGCATCAAATCTATTTATAGCTGAACGATGTATTGTATGTATTTTAAACGATTTCAATGAACCGAATACCTTTACCATTCAAATAACTTTTAAAAACTATTAGGGATAGCGTTCAACCATTACGCCGTCAAAGGAGTCGCGGCATTGCCATATTCTTCAAGATCTTAATCTCGATGTCTTCTTTGATATTTCAAAACTTAAAGATTTGTACCGGAGAGAACCGACCAGGGCCAGGATTTGTTTTTAAAAAATTGGAATGGGGGAGGGGGTAATGATGAGGTTATACGACGAGAATGTTACGTATATTGTATATCGGAATTTGACGTTGTTTTAAATGAAGTTCATGCATTGAACAAAAAATTAGAACGGTGAATCCATTTTAACATTATATTAAATCTTAATGTTTTCCTGCAACGAGACGAGTGATTTGAGTTTGTTTGCCTTCGTAAAATTGTTGCAAAGTGTGGTATGTGCAGAAGGGTCGGGGACTCGTGTTGTTAGCCAATCAAATTTTAATTATTTCTAATAATTACTTCATTTATTGTTACTCTTGATCAGTTTTAGTGCATGATTACCTACAAAAAGAATAAATATGTGACGAGCTTTGTGGACTGTACGGATGACATGCCTGCTGTAGGCGTATATTTAGTTGCACGGCAACCTATCTTTTAAGTTGCCTGCAGGCAAAACGGGTAACTGTTCAGAAAAAAGTGTAGACTGAAAGTAACAGTTTTAAATTTATGCGCTGGTCTGCTACTAAATGCAGATGTGAATTACTATGTACTGCTCACCCCACAAAGTTATGAGTTTATGTCCCTTCCATGCAGCTGTGAAAGTCCGATCATAGATATCTATGAGTCCGATTTGACCAAAGTTGTTATAAAATATTAAACCAAATATGGCGTTTGGGATGGAATGAAAAAATGGTTCTGCATGCATGCTTCAATCGCAGCAACGAAGGGGGACGGGGACATTAATATATTGGGGACAACAATCAAATAACACAGATTAAGTATCAACATGTCCATGGCATTTTTCGGTAGGCCTATAATCCTGGGGTTTCCGTAACTTTCAAGTTTCAAGTGTCTGCACGTTAGCGACTTGTTATAAGAACCAGAAGGAAACATAACAATTATATTTAAATTTCATCCTTAGTCTTCCTGCTTCGGCTGAAAGTAACTGTTCACGTAAGCACGCGACACTTCATTGATGAGCATGAGCCACGTGCTATTATTACGGGGGTATTGATCCCCCTGTTTGTAAATAGAATCGTCCATCGGTTATACAACGGTTGGTATAGTTATATCGCAAAGCCGAAGTTGTTAAAACGTTCAGTACTACGGGCAATCATTGAATGAAACATTTTACGGAACTGTCAGACCAAACGGCGGGGTTAATTACTGGGACTGATTTGTTTATATAATTTGAGTTGACAGAAACATGGAGAACAACGTTGTCTATGTGAATCCTGCTAAAATTCCGAATTCTATTCAACAGGATGCCCTAATCTCGTATGAGAAAAATGCAAGCAACGGAGAACGAGGATACGGATCAACAAACAAGAAAACTGACGAACATGTCACCGTCGGACTGGATTGTGAATCTTTTGATGGAAAAAAGGCCTCAACGATTACCTTGCATAATATACAATATTCTGTTCCAGTTAAAACTAAACCGTGCTGTGGAGCGACAAAGGATAAAATTATATTGAAAGACATCAAGTAAGTAGTCAGTCCTAAGTTCTAAAAAAAAGGTGATTTTTTATATATTATACGTTGATTTTAAAAAAAAGAAATGCAGGTAGGCTTACAGTAAAAATAGCTTTTATTAAAACTTGGGGACGGAAGGGGGTGGGGGGGGGTGTCACTACATAGAGTTCCACACACACTTTTGGTCAGCTAGGTTTACTCACTGATTTTAAAATTGTCTTAAATATTGGAAATTAGGATCCCATATTTTCACGGTAAGATAATAACATCAATATATATTGAAATGGACGTTAAATTGTGTCTGTAATATTGAAGACTAAGAACATTTATTAAGTTAGAGCTTTAGGCCCTTTAAAATAAATTACGTATGATGAGTAAACAGAGAGAGAAATGGGGTTTAACGTCCACTCGACACAAACTCGATCATTTCGGCACTAACATGGTTCAATTTTATTTCAATAACTCGTCTGCGCGTAGGGGTATTTGGGCAGTAGGAGGAAACCGGTGGAACCGGAGAAAACCCACGAGGTTGGACAGACGACCCTATTCCTTGTTGAATGGTGAGTGTTGTATCATTGGGTCTGTCATTGAATCAACTGTTGTGGTTTCGATTCCCCAGTTTGACATGACAATGAGTGGTAGCCTGTCCAACCTCATAGGTTTTCTCCCACTACTAAAGACCCCTTATTGAAACAATATTGAACGATATTAGTCCCAAAATAACCTAGTTTGTGTTTGGATGATAAACCTCTCTCTCTCCCTCTCTCCCCCTCTCTCTCCCTCTCTCTCTCTCTCTCTCTCTCTGTTTTTAATCATATTGTGAAGTCACAACTAGACTTCATAGAGAGCCATGAGTGTATGGAAAATATCAGATGATATAATTGTCAGGCCCGGCGGTGTGGGGGGGCTAGGGGTGGGCTTTAGCCCCCCTAATACTTTGGCCGAAAGTACTCTTTTCTCCAGGTTATTGCGGCCCCTGGACCCACGCCTATAAGGACCTAGGATGGAAGCCCCCCCCCAATCAAGAATTGCTTCCGCCGGCCCTTATTGTTGTTTAGGGAGGGTGGGGGGGGATTTTTTAACATACCAAGATGACTTAGATTCACCTATCATAAAATAACTTAGTATTACTATCAGAAAATAGATAAGAAAATAGTTATTGACCTTTATTGTTAGATACTAATACAATGTCACTGTTCTGGTTTATTATACACTGTCGCTAGTACACCAATAATTTCTGTTATCTTCTCTTGATGTAAAATACAGCGATTTAAGATAGTCATTAAATTTGAAGAATATATTGGTTAAAACAACAAAATATATTAATTACAAAAGAGTTATATCACTAACACATTACAATATGTCGACAACACATTGCAATATATCAGTAACACATTGCAGTATATCGATAACATATTACAGTATATCAATAACACATTACTTACAATATATCAATAACACAATACAATATATTGATAACACATTACAGTATTTTAGGGACACATTACAAATCAGTAACACATTACATTATATCAATAACACATTGTAATATATCAGTAACACATTGCAGTATATCGATAACACATTACAGTATACATATTAAAATATATCAAAAAACACATTACAATATATCAATAACACATTACAGTATATCAATACACATTTCAATGCACCAAAAATGCATTACAGTATACCAATAACACATTACAGAATATCAATAACACATTACAATATATCAAGAACACATTACATTATGTCAATAACACATTACAATATATCAATAACACATTACTATATATCAATAAGACAATACAATATATTGATAATACATTACAGTATACCAGTAACACATCACAATACATGTATATCAATAACACATTACAATATATAAATAACACATTACCGTATGTCAATAGTACTCCACAGTTCTGCTGATTTTTTAATATTTGATTAAATAATCAAAATTATTTAAATTCAAATGGATTAAAAGGAGGCCCATCAAAAGATTTGAGAGAAAAAATATGTTGAGTTGACTATAATCTATGTATTGTCTTTATGTTAAAGTTGCAATTTCAAATTTTCAAGTTATATTTTTAAAATTTATTAAAATAAATCCTTAAAATAGATGGTATCTATAAACAGTCCTACCTTGTTAAAGAATAATCCTATTAATCCTATAATTCACTATTCCCAGTTGAGAAATTGGCAAAAATATCATTTTCATCTTCAAATTCCAACGGTTGAAGATAACTACTCCATGGTGGAGAATAGAAAACATGGGAGGTAATTGTGTTATTATTTCCGGTGTAAATGAGTTTTAAGTGTGAGAATGACACCTATGATCGTATAATAGTGAGTTGACAACCTATTGAGCAAAGACATAGAAATAATTATGTTTTGACTTTCTTAGAAAATATGAAATTGTAACTTTAACAAATTTTCAGCTCATCTCAATGTTTTAAATACTGAACTGAATTGAACTGTTTTTGGATGAATATTTCTCAATCTCTTAATTGACTTTTATATATTTTGGGGGGTTGGATGGCCGAATGGTTAGCACGTGCGCGCTTTATCATAAGGTCTGTCATTGAGTCAACTGGCATGGTTTCGATTCCCTGTTGTACGTGACAAGGAGTAGGGGGTTTTCTCCGAGTGTTCCAGTTTCCTCCTACTGCTAGTCCCGAAATGACCTAGTTTGGGTCGAGTAAAGTTAAACCCCATTTCTCTCTCTTTATAGGGGTGTTGGATGGCTGAATGGTTAGCGTGCGCGCGCTGTATCATAAAGTCTGTCATTGAGTCGACTGGCGTGGTTTCGAATCCCTGGTTGTACGTGACAAGGAGTAGGGTCGCCTGTCCAACCTCGTGGGTTTTCTCCGGGTCCTCCGGTTTCCTCCCACTGCTAAAGACCCCTACGCGCAAGCGAATTATTGAAATAAAGTTAAACCATGTGTTGGTCCCGAAATGACCTAGTTTGTGTCGAGTGGATGTAAAAACCCCATTTCTCTCTCTCTTTCTCTCTTTATATATTTTCAATTGTTTTTTCAGTGGTATTTTCCGTCCTGGTATGAATGCTATTCTTGGACCAACAGGAAGTGGTAAATCATCGTAAGTTAACAGATTTATTACTCATATTAAAATAAATAATTTTATTATTCTACTTTCATTTATTTCCTGAATTAAATGTTGTCAGGTGTCTACCTGTATGTCATCAGGTGCAGATACAGGTACATAAAATAGGAAGGGGGCAGGGGGAGATGAGACACCTGAAATATATGTTGTCAGGTGTGTACATACCTGTATATATGTCATCAGGTGCAGATACAGGTACATAAAATATAAAGAATAGGGTGGGGGGGTGATAACTGAAATATATGTTGTCAAGTTTGTACATACATGTACCTGTATCATGTCATCGGGTGCAATTACAGGTATATTAAAAGAGTTGGGGGTGGGGGGGACACTGTGTATACACGTACCTACAAAATACCAGGGGACAATTAGAAAAGAAACAAGGCTGATATATTTGAGAAATAGTAATTTTACAAAAGGAGGGGAGCATGCCCTTAAAGGATTTGATACTACAAGGTCTGTCATCGAGTCAAGTGATGTGGTTTCGATTCCCCCGCTTGTACATGACAAGGAATAGGGTCGCCTGTCCAACCTCATGGGTTTCCTCCTGGTCTCACAGTTTCCTCCCACTGCTAAAGACCCCTACGCATAAGCGAATTATTGAAATAAAATTGAACCATATGTTAGTCCTGAAATGACCTAGTTCATGTAGTGTGGACCTTAAATCCCATCTCTCTCTCTCTCTCTCTCTCTCTCACACACATTAGTACACAGGTCAAGTTGAAGCAGAGGTTGACAAAAGCTATTTCCCACGGTGCTAGTGTTAAGTTTTCATTTCATGTCTTTTAGTTCAATTTGTATTTGTTGCTGGGCATGCGCAGTGCAGGTTTTTTGTACATTGTTGTATTGATGTGTAATGGTTGAATAAATGTGGCACAAATATTATGAGTTATATATCAGCTAGTTTCACCTGTTAATCAATACAAATATTATGAGTTATATATCAGCTAGTTTCACTTGTTAATCAATACTATTTTGTTTCCTATAAATACTGTATATTCGTTTATTGTACAGCTGACTTGTATCATTTAATGTTTCATTAGTAAAAGAGTTCGTCCACATTTTCCAGCCTGGCTCCCCCTTGTCAGTGATGCAGGACGGAGGGCCTGACAAGGACAGCTGTCTAGTCATTCGGATGGTACAAAAAAAACCATGTCCCGTGTACACATTGGCGTGTACGTAAAAGATCCCTTGACAGTTGGAATTCGATATAAGAGTAGGCCGTAGTGTCGCTGTCCGGGCAAAATTTCCCCCATAACACACTTTATGGCATATCAACCCAGTTTGGAGCAGAACAGTAGGACGTTAAACCCCATTTCATTTCATTTCATCTTGGTTCATGAGTGAACGATATCAGTTTAAAGGAGCTAAATCACTAATATTTGGGACCTAGAAATTGACACAAATGGGTCGCAACGCATACAATAATGTAATATGCATGTATATAAATTGATTTACATTCAATCGTTTTTGTTTTTACTGTAATTTCTAATCAATTAGGTTCGGCGAAATACACCAGTATTCTCAATCGAATTTCAATCTCTAGCTTCTGGTTATTCCAGTCTACGCCGATAGTATTTATTGGGCATGCTCTCCAGATAAGAATATAGCGTCACCGTTTGACATGACTTGTGGAATATGCCTAGCCTCGTTTTTTGAGTCCCTTATTACAAATATCGCCGAACGTATTATGGTACACGATTCGTGTACCAATTGTAAAATGTTTATTTTGTCTTAAATATTGGATATCAGAAGGCCATCTTTTCCCGGTAAGATCACAACATCAATGTTGATTTAAACCGACAAATAAATTGTGTTTTCAATGTCATAGATTTAATGTAGCTAAGTCTCTAACTCAATATCATGCAAAGTCTTTGAAAGATGGGCTTCTGATATCCATTTGTGACAAGGGACTCAAAGAACAAGGCTAGATATATTCCACAAGTCATGTCAAATGGTGACGCATATTCTTATCAAAAATGTCTGAAATGAAATGAAATGTTTGTTAAAATCCTATGACCTATGGTTCTGCTCTGACTGGGTTAATGAGGACGTGCATACACAGACATTTTGCCCAGGCAGCAGCTCTATACCCTACTCTTATATGGAATTCCAACTGCCAAATGTTCTTTTATGTGCATGCCAATGTGTACACAGTACCTCTTTTTCATCCCATCCGAACGACTGTACATCGACTTTTGTCAAGCCCTCTATCCTGTACAACTGACGAAGGGGAACCACGCCAGAAAGCAGAAAATGTGTGATGTGAAAATGGCAGGCAAGAAGTCAATCAATCAATAATATTTAGGAGGGTGGGGCGGTGAAGTCAATGAATCTATAATATTTAGGAGGTGAAGTCAATGACTCTATAATATTTAGGAGGGTGGGCAGGTGAAGTCAGTCAATCTATAATATTTAGGAGGGTAGGGAGGGGAAGTCAAATGGATCTTTAATATTTAGGAGGGTGGGAAGGGGAAGTCAATGGATCTTTAATATTTAGGAGGGTGGGAAGGGGAAGTCAATGAATCTATAATATTTAGGAGGGTGGGAAGGGGAAGTCAAATGAATCTTTAATATTTAGGAGAGTGGGGAGGAGAAGGCAATGAATCTATAATATTTAGGAGGGTGGGAAGGGGGAAGTCAAATGAATCTATAATATTTAGGAGGGTGGGAAGGGGAAGTCGATGAATCTATAATATTTAGGAAGGTGGGGAGGGGAAGGCAATGAATCTATAATATTTAAGAGGGTGGGGAGGGGAGGTCAATAGATTATAAAATTTAGGAGGGTGGGGAAGTGTGAGGTCAATGAATCTATAATATTTAGGGATGTCAGTATCCTTTTAATATTAAACATTGACAGGTTTTCAATTTATTCCTGTAAATACTGAATGGATTTGAGATTCAACTGAACAAAATTGCATCATTTTTTTGACTCATTTTCCCTTTAGAGATTGTAATTTCACAATATAGTAAAAAAATTAAAGAAAATTAGATGAAATGAGGTTTAACATCCTACTCTTCTGATCCGACTGGGCTAACGATCAGGGGCTATGATAGCTGCACTACGGCCTACTCTTATATCAAAATCCAATTGCTAAGAGATCTTTTATGTGCATGACACTGAGCCACCAGGGGTCCATGCTCTCAAAGAAATTTTAAGAAAGAATAAATATTGTGAAAAACAGTGATTAAACTTACTGTCACTAGTGGAACTGGATGTGCAAGTAAAAAACTCTTGAGCTAGATTTGTATTATGATTGTTGTTTCCCTTTATATTTGACAACGGGGAGGTGTGTGGGGGGGGGGGGGGTCGAGTCACCTGGCTTGGTTTTGATTCCCTGGTTGTACGTGACAATGAATAGGGTCACCTTTCCAACCTCGTGGGTTTTCTCCGGGTCTTCTGGTTTCCTCTCACTGCTAAAGACCCCTATGCGCAAGCGAATTATTGAAATAAAATTGAATCATATGTTAGTCCTGAAATGACCTAGTTTGTGTCGAGTAGACGTTAAACCCCATCTCTCTCTTTCTATATTTGACAGATGTCTCGATGTTTTAGCTGGACGAAAAGATCCATCAGGTTTGAGAGGAAATTTGTTGATAGATGGGGCTCCACCACCCGATAATTTTAAATGTTTGGTCGGCTACGTTGTTCAGGTGAGGTTTATCTTGCAGCCTTCAGTAGGCCAATCATCTTCTTCACTTTAACTACATACATCTTATCAAGGCCTTCACGTAATACCCTACATATTTCGGCACTAATTTCGATTGGGTACAAGCCCAACTTGTAAGCCTATCAGATTCCTCAATTGTCGCGAATACCAAGTCTCGTGCTATCCAGCTAAAATGTCTACCTGTGATAATGGAGTTGCAAGGTTCAAGGTTCATTCAATGTCAAGGTTTCCGTGGAGGTCGCAATGTCACAACCTCTGATTGGACGCTACCGTTCACTTGTCTGTAGAAACTAGCGGTGGAATTGATTTAAAACTATGACTTCTGTACTGTATGTTATAGATATCTAAGTTGTATGTGATACAAGAGAACGTTGTGTTCAATATTTTATCTTGGCAATTTGGAAACCAGTCTGTATTGTACTGTATTATAATATGTATCAATATTTGGCAAATACAGTCAATAGAATATTCTTGTATCTTGATATTTTTGTATATCTTCAGCCCACTTGATGTAAAATTTTAGTTCAAGTGGCCCTTGAATTGAAATGAGTTTGACACCCCTGGTCTAGCGAGTTAATTATGGACTTTAGTGTGAATATATACCGGTAATAATGTGTAGCACATTATATGAAGTCAGAAAAAAAGCAGTCATTGTTTTTTAAGGCGAGCGATCAGTCTTGAGTACCTGCCACTCACCTGAATGTCGACCGAGGGGAGGTTTTTCTCACTCTCTTTAAAATTGAACATCGCTCTCCTTTACAAAGTGATGGGGGGTTTATAATCATTTATGAAATCAGGAATGACCCCCCCCCCCCCCCCCCCCGTAACATGCAGTTATTGATCTTCAGAACCATTTCCCATACACACAACTAATCACTCTCCTTAATATCAGATCACTCTTCTTAATTTCTAAATCACTCTTCTGATCAAAACTGGGAGAGCTTTTTTAGAGGAGCGATTTGTTCAATTTGTTGATTAAACACACATGAAAATAGCTCTCCATTACAAAGCCATTAGGGGTTTATTATCATTTATGAAAGCAGGAATGGCCCCATTACATGCAGTTATTGATCTTAGAACCATTTCCCATGCACATAACTGATCACTCTCCTTAATATCAGATCACTCTCCTAAAATTTCTAAATCACTCTTCTTATCAAATCTGGAAGAGTTTTTTTAGGAGCGATTTTTTCAATTTGTTGATTAAGGGAAGCTCTTTTTCGACTCCCCTCTAAAATACAAACAACAACGACTGAAAAAGATAGAAGAATATCCAAATATCAGTTGAAGTGCGAATATTAAGATATTTTTGTGAGGACGAAAGTATTCGTTAGATTTATAAACAACTTTCCTTTTTACACATGTATATATACAGGATGATGTTGTCATGGGAACGTTAACAGTACGAGAGAATTTTGAGTTTTCTGCCAGTCTGCGTTTACCACGGACTGTTACTAAAAAAGAGAGAAATCAAAGAGTAGACCAGGTTATCCAGGAACTAGGACTGATGGAATGCGCTGATACAAAGGTTCGTAAATTTTACCATCATCATCTCTGTCCCAGAAAATACTATGGTAGATGATCACTCAGTCATCATCACAAAGATATCTGCTACCACTGGGGTTTAACATCCGCTCAACACACGTACAAGCAGGGAATGAGTGAATGAACCAGAGTAATATCACATATACCTATTGGGTCTCGTTTCAGTCAGATTTGACCGACTGACTGACTGCCTGACCTAAGCAATTTCATTGGTCAATGCGTTGGGACAAGAAAGTTGACTTTCATTCTAACTTAAGGAGAGTGATGAAACTTGGTGTATAGTTTCACTACCAGGTACTTCCATTTCCTTGACTGAGCCCGATCGAGCACATTTTATGCTTAAATCGGTTAAGAGTGCTCGATATTTTTCAAAAAGACAAATATGCAATTAATTGATATGTGTCATCTAATTATTTTGGGAATGTGGCAGGGGACATCGGCCTCACTGTTGGCTTGTTTAAAATTGGGATAATGCTAAAGATTCACATTCTTAGGGAAATATCATGCTAAAGGGGGAAAAAATCAAATTTTTTAACTTAAAGCTCTGGTAAACCCTATTGGATATCTGGATGTCTTCCAGGGTTCGAATCCCCAACGTGATCTATACATTTCCTGTTACTTTTCAGGTTGGTAATGAATTTATACGAGGTGTTTCTGGAGGTGAGAGAAAACGAACCAATATTGGCATGGAGTTGATTATATCGCCACCTGTATTATTTTTAGATGAACCTACAACTGGTCTTGACGCTAGTACGGCCAATGCTGTCATGTGTCTGCTGAAAAGGTTTGATAGTTTAATATTAATCCATTAAAGATACATTATGGAGAGAAATGGAGTTTAACGTCCACCCGACACAAACTAGGTCATTTCGGGACTAACTCAATAGTTTCCATTCCCCGGTTGTACGTGACAAGGAGTAGGGTCGCCTGTCCAACCTCATGGGTTTTATCCAGGACCTCCGGTTTCCTCCCACTGCTAAAGACTCCTTCGCGCAAGCGAATTATTTAAAAATATAAATTGAACCATGTGTTAGTCCCGAAATGGCCTAGTTTGTGTCGATTGGATGATAAAACCCATTTCTCTCTCTCTCTCTCTTGTTAGGGATTTCAAATCCTTTATTTAACAACCAACAGTTTTAAGAACACATCATATAAAAAAACCATAGTTTTGTTTTCGTTAAAATCACATACATCTGGTAAAGAAAATGGAAATCATATTTGTCCGTCTGTGTGAATCCATCCATAATGCTAGGTTCCCACTGTCGTGCGATGCGTTATGATAGGATTGTCCCTGTTAAGTCCACGATCTGGTATATGTACGTGCGGATACATTTCGATGCGATCAATGGGATGGCTACGACTGACCTCGATATATGATAAGTCCTGATAGGATCACTACGATTACTCCACGATTAAAGCGAATCGTGATAGTGGGAACCTAGCATTATATTTGAACTTTTATTGATTGCAGGTTGGCATTGAAAGGAAGAACGATAATATTTTCTATACATCAACCTCGTTATTCTATATATCGTCTGTTTGATAGTTTAATGTTGCTATCAGCGGGAGAAGTCGTATTTCACGGTCCAGCAACTAATGCTCTAGATTATTTTAAATCTGCTGGTGAGTTCATACTATATATTCATCTCGTTACTTTTTTTTATCAGCGTGGTTGCTCAGTGGGGGTGGATGGCCGAATGGTTAGCACGTACATGTTGTATCATAATGCCTGTCATTGAGTCAAGTGGTGTGGTTTCGATTCCCCAGTTGTACGGGCTATACTATATACCAGAAAACACCGGAAAACAACAGAAAACTACCGGAAAACACCATGTTATACTGAATACCGGAAAAACACTAAATACCGGAAAACACACTAAATACCGGAAAACACACTAAATACCAGAAACCACCCTAAATAGGTAACCCGGAGAAGGGCTATACTATAAACCGGAGACTAACCCTAACCCAGGCACACAGAGGACCAGGCTCCCGGTTACCTATTTAGGGTGCTAGTCTCCGGGTTACCTATTTAAGGTATTTTCCGGTATTTATTGTGTTTTCCAGTATTTAGTGTTTTTCCGGTGTTTTCCGGTATTCAGTATAAAATGGTGTTTTCCGGTTGTTTTCCGGTGTATTGCCGCAGTTGTACCTCACAAGGAGTAGGATCACCTGTCCAACTTCGTGGGTTTTCTCCGGGTCCTCCGGTTTCCTCCCACATTTATGAATTTATTTTCTAAATTAATGTTTTTATGTTTAGGTTACGAGCATCCCCCTCGTTGCTCTGAGCTAGTTACGGCCCTGTTTAGGGGGGTTGGATGGCCGAATGGTAAGCACGTGCGCGCTGTATCATAAAATCTGTCATTGAGTCAACAGGCGTGGTTTCGATTCCCCGGTACATGACAAGGAGTAGGGTTGCCTGTCCAACTTCATTGGTTTTTGCCGCATCCTCCGGTTTCCTCCCACTGCTAAAGACCATTATGCGCAATATATATGGTCCACAGTAAGAGAAAAGAACTGGCATGGCTTTACCATCATGGGGTAAAAACATACTGGCTCTATTAAAATGTTAAAGAACTAAAAATCAAATGAATCTGAATATTTTACACATTTATAAATTTTATGTTTAGGTTACGAATGTGAAGAACACAACAATCCTCCAGATTTCTTCCTGGATATAATTAACGGAGATTCGTCTGCTGTTATGAGTATGGATGCTCTAGAAGAAAGTGCCAAACATGGTGAGATAGTTTTGTTTATAAATACTAGGCGGGGTTGGGTTGGGTGATTAGGTGATGTTGTTGATGAAGACTAGGCTGGGTTGAGTGGTCAGGTGATACTGTTGATAAAGACTGGACTGGGTTGGGTTGGGGTTGATAAAGACTAGGCTGGGTTGGGTGGTTAGGTGATACTGTTGATAAAGACTGGGCTGGGTTGGTTGTCAAGTGACGCGGTTGATAAAGACTAGGCTGGGCTGGGTGTTGATAAAGACTAGGCTGGGTTGGGTGGTCAGGTGGTGCTGTTGATAAAGACTAGACTCGATCATCCATTTCATGATTAAATTATGAATGGAAGTCGAGCAGCAAATGGGATCATAATCCAGTAAATATCGCAGGTTACCAATGCCATCTCAAGAGTTGATTATGGTCTTAATTTAGAAAACATTTCAGGCCTAATGAAAGACCTACAATTGGCAGATTTAGCTCTTGCATAATGTATATTTAATAAGGTGTTTTTATAAATTATTTCAGGTACAATAGATTCAAATAAAACACAAGAAGGTATGTTCAATATTTTATATTTAAAACTTATTGGAATATTCGTCTTGGATTCATTAAAGGCCTACACACACCCAGGATTCTTTGTTTCTGACATCCACATGGGCGTACGAGTAGGAGGTGGGGAGGCCCCTTAATTTTCGGGTAATCTGACTTTTTAGGCAGAATGGGTAGAGTGTAAACAAAAATTAATTTATCTAGTCGGCAAAAAAAAAGTGCCCGAAATCTAATAAAATGCTAATTTTACTTTTCTTTTTATTGAATACTACAAATTTGTACTTAATTGATTATGGATTAAAACATCTTGTCTGGAGCCACTCTACTTTGTGTGACATTTTTGGGGCATTGATTATTACTTGTGAATGCATTCCGATTGGATGGTTGGAATTCAGGTCGCCATAAAGTGGGATTTCGGTTGCAAAACGACTGGAAACATTGAAGTTTCAAAATTTTGTCATCAAGGGAAAGGTCTTCATACCCCGTCTGTTATAGGTACGTCTATGGATGTCGAACTTCTTGTCTGTGACCCATTCTAGAGCAAAACATGCTACAACAATTTTTTTGTTGTCCTGGTTTCAATCACAGCGTTGGCCAAGAAAATTCTCGGAGATTCCCGCCCCCTTGTCAGTCATGTAGGATCGAGGGACTCACAAGTTACAACATCTAGTCATTGCTGTCTTGGCAAAATTTCCCCTCGTAGCACGCTGTATGGCGTATGCCCATCTTCATTAGCCCAACTGGTGCAAGGCAAAGTTGGACATTCAACCTAATTTCATTTCATTTCTTTCTTACATTGTACCTTTGATGTGATGAAGTTCTGTTTAATAAAGATATGATGTAAAATTATTTATTGATGTAGGAGGCTCTGTTAGAGTTGCATTGACTTTATTACCATGTAATTTAACGGTTTTGACAAAACTTCACCTTTTCAGCACCTCTTTTATCTGAAGTCAAAGGTGAATTATAAGTTTGTGCTTTAGATGTAGTATATGGTGATTTTTGTGCCCCGCCTTTCGAAGAAAGCAGGAGACTATTAAAATCTCTCCATCCGACAAAATAACTCTCCTTCTAATTGAGCTAATTCAATGATGAGCATTTTCTTGTTAGACTAAGTCAATACTTTAATCTGATTGGTCGAGACTTTGGAACACAATAACTCACAATAACTAATTGAGTTAGAATGTTCAAACTTGCCGTAGGTGTCTATTAGGTGAATGCCTTGACAGTGTTCGATCATGTGCATTTTCCACTAAGGCTAAGCAGAGATAAGCAGCTTGATTGGTCGAGACTTTGGAACAGGATAACTTTGGTTCTAATTGGGTGAGAGCGATGACACTCAAGACTATAGATTCATTATACCAATACTTTGACTAAGTTCGATGATGAGAATTTTCTGTCGTAGCAATATGCAATTTGATAGGGCAAGACTTTGTAACATAACAAATGTGCTTTCAATTGTGGTAGAATGTTTAAACATGATGTAGATGTTCATTAGATGAATGTCTTGACTGAGTTCATTGATTAACATTATCAGCTAAAGCTGAATGATGAAACTTAGTGTATAGTTTCACAACCAGGTACTTCAAACCCTTGACTGAGTTCGATCATGAACATTTTCTGCTTAGACTAATTATAGATAATCAGTTTGATTTCTTGATACTTTATAAAAAGATAAATATGCAATTAATTAATATTTTTCATCTAATTATTTTGGGAATGTGGCGGGGGACATCAGCCTGACTGTTGGCTTGTTTATTTGGTGGATTTTGTTTGTTTGGTTTTTTTTTGGTTTATTTTTTGTGGAGGTAGTTTAGATAGATAACGTATAATTAGTATGTGTCATCTATTTATTATGAGATTGCGGCAGGGGACATCAGCCTCGCTGTTGGCTTGTTTATTTGGTGGATTTTTGTTTGAGTTTTTTTTATTTATTTTTTTTATTTCTTGTGGAGGTGGTTTAGATAGATAATGTATAATTTAGTTATTTTATCTGTGAAGCATGGATGTTGTTTTGAAATTCTCAAAGACTGTAATACTTTTAGTAGAATTTTTGCTCGAGAAATAACATATTCGCATAATATGTGCTATGTACTTAAAATACTTAAATCAACTTAGTCTGTAATTGACAGTTGACACATAAAAAAGAGCTATTTATCGAAAACATATGTCACTCATTTACCACCAGAATTACACGTGAGTGGAATTATTCTAATTGCATCATTTGATTTAAAGTAACCAATCATTTTGTTAATTACACAAGTTCAGGGCCATGATCACGCGTTATTGTGCATGATATTCACTTACCTTTAAAAGAAACCGGGGAACCCTGTAAGTCAGACTTGCATTAGATTCCAGAGATCGAGGGTACATCTGAGTTCCTAGACAGCCGAGAGGCTGGATAGGGTGGAGAAGTGGTTTTAGCTATATAGTATTGTAATTTGTGCTATGCTTGTATACCTGTATTCAGCTATATATATATATATAAAATATGTAGAAGCAAACTGTCGCATTGTTATTCCTGGTAAGACAGACGTCTTAAGAAACTGTGAGAAGTAAATACACAACGTGAAGCAGAAGTAAAGACAGCTAGAGACAAATTCTAGACGATCACAAGGCTACAGAAATATGTAGTAAGAAAAGATGCATGGGTTCTACGTAGGATGTGGCGACCGGTTTCCCATAGACGCTCTTCTCGTCAGACAAAAGACCTATGGTGCTACAAGACGCAGCCTACAAGTTTTACTTGTATTTAATTGTTATTTTTGTTGCATTTTCTATATTTGTCTATACCTGTATCATTTTCTATATTTGTCTATACATGTATCATTTTCTATATTTGTCTATACCTGTATCATTTTCTATATTTGTCTATACATGTATCATTTTCTATATTTGTCTATACCTGTATCATTTTCTATATTTGTCTATACATGTATCATTTTCTATATTTGTCTATACCTGTATCATTTGCTTGATAAAGAAGGAGTATACTCGTGGAAACATCGCTTAATTGTGTATCCATAAAATTGTACCTTGTTTTAGAATTAAATTGGTTTGGGATACCGGATATGATTTGATGAGCTGAACTATTGTGTGTATGATCATCGTGTTGTTTTTTTATTTCAGGTTCAGAAAATAGCATCCACAATAAATTAGTTGAACATTATAAGAGCTCTGTGTGGAAACAGACGTAAGTGAAATTATATACATTTCATATTATTTACGTTTCATAATCAGTCAGAAAAGTATTCATTTTTAGTGTGTGGGGGAGGTGGCGGAAATGAAATGGGTTTTAACGTCCTACTATTCTGCCCCAACTGGGCTAATGAAGACGGGCATATGCCATACAGTGTGCTATGGGCAGCGGCTCTATGGCCTGCTCTTATATCGAATTCCAAGGGATCTTTTACGTGCACATCAATATGTACATGCGCCTCAGTTTTTCATCCAATCCAAATGACTAGACAACTGTCCTTGTCAGGCCCTCTGTCCTGCACCACTGACGACTGACAAGGAGAAACTGTCAAAAGTTCTTTTATTTTCATGCCAACTTGTACATGACTAGACCTCGGTTTGAAAGATTCCAAGGCTCTTCTCAACCCCAACCAGCATTTGAACACAAGAGATTCTACTTGTGTGTCCAGTACCATGACAGATCAAAGTGCCACCATCTTGAAACGTGAAAAATCCCTAAGGCTTTTGCGATATTTTACTTACAGACATGGGAGTTAACTTTTCTGAATCCTTGAAAGAATGCCTTAAAGGGACAATAACACTCTTGCTGGCTTGACAGCTCCAGTAAATAAATATTAGCCTTATTCTAAGTATTAGATGTTTAAGTGTCCTACCTGTTGTGTAAATTATCCATTACATCCTATTTTACTTGTCCAGAGGGTTCGAAAATATTTTTAAATCCAAGTCACATTTGAAAAGGTTTACATTAGGCTTTTCAAATCATTTAGTTGAATTTTTCCAATTTTTTAAATTAGGTGAGTTAAGATGAAATTTTTATCATCAATTAATTGGAATACTGTAAAAGAGTACAACTTGTTGACCAGAATAAAGATTGGGACATATTATTCTGTTACAACAAGAGTGGTATTGAGCCTTTAAAAATGTTCAGACCTGAATTTTGATTTAGGTTAACTAACTGATGATCGATGATGGTCACCATTTTGAATTGAATATGAAAAATAGTGAAAAATCTACTTTAACGGGCGTGTAAATAAACGCAATAGGCCATAGGTTTAAGCATTTGTCTACTACACTTTAAATATATCTGTGATTTCTTTGATTTTAATTTTTAGGTTATTTAATGAAATAGAGCCTTTAGAACAACAATACTTAGAGAACGTTAGAAATGATGCCGTCGTTAGAATGCCAAAAGTATCCTATGCTACATCTTTTGCCTGGCAGGTTTGTTAAACTATATTAATACAAGCTTGTTTTCCTGAAGTTTCACATGGCGTGTTTAACCCATATTAATACAAGTTTAGTTACCTGGGCCCCCAGTTCACAAAGCATTCTCAGACTTAAGTTAAGAATTTACTCAATTTTCAATCACTGTTTATGAAAAGTATCTTTTATCAAAAAACACAAAACTTTGCACAGTTTCTTATTGATGTATTTGATACATTAAAACAATAAAAGTTTTATAAAGGGCTATATTTTAGTTAAAATAAGGTGAACAATTTTGAGTAAATTCTTAACTTAAGTCTGAAAATGTTTTGTGAACTCGGGGCCAGGGATCTGAAAAATGAATTAAATTCACTAGGGTATCCCCTTGTGACTATATTTAGAATAAAAAAGATTAATTGATACAGTATAGTTTTTATTTTTTATGTGTTTACAAATGTAGACAAAAGTAAGATATACAAATGATTTATTATTTAATATATTTTATATTTTAACAGTTGTGGATTGTGTCTATACGAACAGCCAGAAATTTATTCAGAAACCCACAAAGTTCAATTTTACAGGTATTAATTATTACTTATCCCACGTTGAATGAAGGACATTGAAATGGACTCTGTCCGTCAGTCATTCGATCCTAGTTTTGTTTATGGGGCATATCTCCTAAATCATTTAAACATACATTATGCAAGAGCTAAATCTGCCTATTGCAGGTCTTTCTTTAGGCCTGAAATGCTATCTAAATTATTAATTAGACATTAATTAACTTATGCAGACCATAATCAACTCGCGATATCTTCGCTAGCCTGCAATATTTACTAGATTTGAATACATTTTGTGATGGATGATTTGACGTAAAAATGGATAATGGAGAGATTGTGTTTTATCGTACCAACTTTAGTAATGATGACCGAGGCTAGCCTAAAATGTAAATGTTGCTGTGCTCTCTTGATGAAGAAAAGGTGGAGATACGGATGTTTAGACACATGACCATTAAACACCTGACCAATAAACCAAAAAACACATGACGAATAGATACGTGTCCAATAAATACATGACCAATGTACACATGACCAATAGACACATGACCAATAGAAACATGACCAATACACACATGACCAATACACACATGACCAATAAACACATGACCAATAGAAACATGACCAATAGAAACATGACCAATACACACATGACCAATACACACATGACCAATAAACACATGACCAATAAACACATGACCAATAACCAAATGTTAGTCTCAGAATAATGGTAGTGTGGTGTTGATGAGATGTTAAAACTTGGATTCTTTTCGTTATAGATTTTTGTAATGATTATATTTGGTGTAATTGTTGGAGCTGTTTATTTCCAAATAGATAACTCTGCTAAAGCCGGTATACAAAACAGGTAATTATGTCATGTCATATTCATTCATATTGGCATTCCTCATTGAATGAATCCGCAATGGCTCAGCTAGTAAGGCTCTAAATGAAATCCGCAGTGGCTCAGCTAGTAAGTCTCTCAATAAAATCTGCAGTGGCTCAGCTAGTAAGGCTCTCAATAAAATCTGAAGTGACTCAGCTAGTAAGACTCTAAATGAAATCTGAAGTGGCTCAGCTAGTAAGACTCTAAATGAAATCTGAAGTGACTCAGCTAGTAAGACTCTAAATGAAATCTGAAGTGACTCAGCTAGTAAGACTCTAAATGAAATCTGCAGTGGCTCAGCTAGTAAGGCTCTCAATAAAATCTGCAGTGGCTCATATCAGCTAGTAAGACTCTAAATGAAATCTGAAGTGGCTCAGCTAGTAAGACTCTAAATGAAATCTGAAGTGACTCAGCTAGTAAGACTCTAAATGAAATCTGAAGTGACTCAGCTAGTAAGACTCTAAATGAAATCCGCAGTGGCTCAGCTAGTAAGGCTCTCAATAAAATCTGCAGTGGCTCAGCTAGTAAGACTCTAAATGAAATCTGAAGTGACTCAGCTAGTAAGACTCTAAATGAAATCTGAAGTGACTCAGCTAGTAAGACTCTAAATGAAATCTGAAGTGACTCAGCTAGTAAGACTCTAAATGAAATCTGAAGTGACTCAGCTAGTAAGACTCTAAATGAAATCTGAAGTGACTCAGCTAGTAAGACTCTAAATGAAATCTGAAGTGGCTCAGCTAGTAAGACTCTAAATGAAATCTGAAGTGACTCAGCTAGTAAGACTCTAAATGAAATCTGAAGTGACTCAGCTAGTAAGACTCTAAATGAAATCCGCAGTGGCTCGCTCGTTTAACAGGAGGTCCCATGGTTCCATCCTTGTTACCAGCCGAAAAAAGTTCTTCAGGATTCTCCAGCATTTCTGTTCCCATTCTCAGTCTGCAGAACAGAGGGCCTAGCATGTTACAGCGTCTAGTAGTTTGGATGGGACAAATACAAATACATTAGAGTGCTTGTTAAAGATACCTTGACAATTCAATCAGAAACTGCTGCCAAGGAAAACATACCCTCAGAGCACACTGCATGCATATGTCTCTCTTCTTTAGCCCTGTTGGGGCACATCTCATTTCATTTCATTTACTAAATTCCGGTGCTAAGAAAAATTCTAAACAATTTCATCACCTTTACCCATTGTTCACCGAAACATTGCTGTCAGTTGCCGTTATGGCACAACATTTTGGAGAAGCATAAGGTCGAGTTGTCGGAGGTTCATTGGCTGTCCATGATGCAGGTCACCAATAATAATGTAAAGATTATTCTAAAAGATAAACAGCCATTTTGATTTATATTTTCAGGGTTGGTGCTTTCTTCTTTATTATCATGAATCAAGTTTTTGGTAATTTGTCGGCCATTGAACTATTTATAAAAGAAAGATCTATATTTATGTAAGTAAACTATCATTGTGTGGTTGGTACTGTTCAAATATAAACATTGACTTTTATCGTCTGCTAGTAACCCCCTGTGTGTGTGTGTGTGTGTGTGTGTGTGTGTGTATCACTGGACATGCGCACTAATGAGAATGGTCTCAATCTGTGCGTACACTGCGGTACACGCTGCAGGTATTCTTTGTTTTACCTTCACGTGTGTCTCATCGTTTGTCTCCATCATACTTCATGTTTTTACTCAAATGTAAATAAAGTATACTTAACAAGATGGCTAGTCTAATTAACTTGAACAGGTACTACGATTTTAAGACCAGGACCTTATTTGTTAAGTGGCTTAACCCTTTGTTTGATTCACATACTGTCCGAGGGTATGCTTACTCCTGAACAGCAGATGCACCAGCTCACAATCCAGTAGGTCCCAGACTCAATCCAGAGGTTAGTTGAGAAAGTGCCGGAGGATTTTCTGGCCTGGTTTCCCCTTGTCAGTGGTGCAGGATGAAGTGGTTTCCCCTTGTCTGTGATACAGAATGGAATGTTTTCTGCATGACAGTGGTGCAAGATAGACTGTAGCACTGCTAATGGTATACTCTGTTGCGCTGTCATAAGCCTTGTTGGTGTTGAAAAGTAGGAAATTAAACCTCATGGCATTATAAGATACCTTCTCTGAGTTATCCAGGAAGTTGATTTAAACCTCATTGCATTATAACATACCTTCTCTGAGTTATCCAGAAAGTTGATTTAAACCTCATTGCATTATAAGATACCTTCTCTGAGTTATCTACGTAGTTGATTTAAACCTCATGGCATTATAACATACCTTCTCTGAGTTATCCAGGAAGTTGATTTAAACCTCATTGCATTATAACATACCTTCTCTAAGTTATCCAGGAAGTTGATTTAAACCTCATTGCATTATAACATACCTTCTCTGAGTTATCTACGTAGTTGATTTAAACCTCATGGCATTATAAGATACCTTCTCTGAGTTATCTACGTAGTTGATTTAAACCTCATGGCATTATAACATACCTTCTCTGAGTTATCCAGGAAGTTGATTTAAACCTCATTGCATTATAACATACCTTCTCTAAGTTATCTACGTAGTTGATTTAAACCTCATTGCATTATAACATACCTTCTCTGAGTTATCCAGGAAGTTGATTTAAACCTCATGGCATTATAACATACCTTCTCTGAGTTATCTACGTAGTTGATTTTTGTATGTATTTGAATGATTTCAGCCATGAGAATGTCAGTGGTTTTTATCGTGTATCAGCGTATTTTTTAGCCAAGGTATTTTGTGATGTGATACCTATGAGAATGATACCAGTAGCTGTTTTCTCCTCCATTGTTTATTGGATGGTTGGTAAGTTACAAACTACTACAATATATATTACTTGAGATGTGATAGAATGTAACACTAACATTAGGTTAAAGATACATTATGGGAGATTTTAATAGAGAGTTGGCCATTCTTGCTATAACAGTTCAAAAATAGATGATGAAAGAAGAATATATTGAAAATGTCAATCAAATTACTTTATTCTGAACAAAGTTATCACCATTGTAATTTTTGACTAGAAATAGTTATATAACAACTCTTCCAGATCCTAGTGTAGTAAAAACAAGTAAAACAAAACGAAATAGGATCTGTGTTGTAATCAGATATTATGAACCCCAGTTAGATAACAATATAAAGCACATGCGTTAGACCACAATGTTCAAACTTGGTGTAGTTGGTCACTAGGTGTACGATAAAGCACGAGACTGGGGTTATGCTGGGGAAAGAAAGACTGAAGAAAATAACCCAAGAAAAACCGAGGCCGGCAGGCCGAGGTTTTTCTGTCGAGGGTTTTTTCTGAAGTCTTTCTTCCCCAGCATGACCGAAGTCGAGGACTTTATCTTGCTTATAAACCGTCTATGTTTACATGTACACAAGATGAGAATATCCCAGAATTCACGTAAGAAAAACCTTATATTATGTTTTCTTATGGAAAAAACCCTACCCTGGAAGAATAACCTGGTACAGGTTTAAAGAAAAACTTTCAGAAGAATAACCCCAAATGTCCCTGTATATATCCAAAGCCGACCACGACTTTCGGACCGCAAGTTATTCCGGGCATAGAATAAACCCCAAAGATCAAAGAGATTTACCGTTACAGGTTTATAAGTGAAACTCTTGACTGGGTTATAAGTTTATAGTTTATATAATATTTAAGGCCTAAAGAAAGACCTGCAATAGGCAGATTTAGCTCTTGCATAATGTATGTTTTAGTATTATTTTGAGATTAAGGTTTTTTATGAACCCCATTTAGATAACAATGGCCTATAAATTCTTTGTTTTACAGGATTTACAGCCGATGTTGGAAAATTCTTCTTCTTCATGTTGGATTTATTTTTAACGACGTTATCAGCTACGAGTCTAGCATTTGCTATCAGTGCTAGTGTTCGTATGCTAGCCATCGCTAATTTACTCATCGCTCTGTGTTTTGTATTTATGATGGTATGTATTTTTACAATGTTTTTACGATGAAACTGAGTAATTCGCCGTCGTCCTTAATATACATTGTATAAAGCATCTGTCAGATTTATTGTTAGGCATTTTCCTTGATTATCATAGTCGCTATCAAGAGAGAGAGAGATGGAGTTTGACATCCACTCAACACAAACTAGGTCATTTCGGGACTAACATGTGGTTCATTTTTTTATTTCAATAATTTGCTTGCACGTAGGGGTCTTTAGCAGTGAGTGGAAACCGGAGGACCTAGAGAAAACCCACGGGGTTAAACAGGCGTCCTTACTCCTTGTCACGTACAACCGGGTAATTGAAACCCTGCCAGTTGACTTAATGACAGACCTTATCATACAGTATGCACGCGCTAACCATTCGGCCATCCAAATGAAATGAAATGGGGTTTAACGTCCTACTGTTCTGCTCGTACTGGGCTAATTAATACGGGCATACGCCATACAGTGTGCTATGAGGGGAATTTTGCCCGGGCATCGGCACTATATCCTACTCTTATATCGAATTCAAACTGCCTATGGATCTTTTACGTGTATACACGGGACCTCGTTTTTTTTGTCCCATCTGAATGACTAGACAGCTGCCCTTGTCAGGTCCCCTGTCCTGCACCACTGACAAGGGTAAACCACATCAGAAAATCCTGATGAACTATCTCGGCCAGTGCAGGGAAAAAAACATGTGACCTCCAGGCTAGCGAGCCAGTGTCTTACCCACTTAGCCACCGTGGCTCTATTCGGCCATCCAACCCCCCAATAATAAACTTGGTAATGACTTATTCTGAGAATTGATTGTTTCAGTTGTTCAGTGGACTGTTAGTTAATTTATCATCAATGGCTGCCTGGTTACGGTGGATAAAATGGGCCAGTATATTCCGTTATAGTTTAGATGTAAGTATTGTATAGACATCGTATATTTTCAGATTTGTTTTTGATCAGTGGTTTGGCTGGTCATCCTTTTAAGCATATTTTATTTACAGTCAATAAAAACAACTCACATGCAGTGTTATGGAGATAAACTATGTTACACGTATGACGGAACTAAGACTAAGAGCAACTACTGCAGTCCACATGTAGATTGCGAACTGTCTCATCATATGGGTAACACTACAAATATAACAGAGATCAGTTTCTTAAATATACATCGGGATCTAACACAATCTGATTAAAACATGGATCCTATTTTGTTTCGTTTTTTTATAGTTCAAATTTTCGTTTAACTTGCCTTTTTACACTAGGATCTGGAAGAGTTGTTATATAACCCACGTTCTGTTTGATGTGAGGGATTACCAATAAAACGGTCTGTTGCAGTGAGTTCTTGGCGTGAGGTGCACAGAACTGTTGGTATCTTACTAAAAACATAAACGCTGATTGGTTAATCAAATGTCTAACGTCATGGGGTCAAAAGTTGCTCGTATGACCCCTGACACGACCTTCCAGTACAACCGGTCAGATCTTCATGTAGTGTAGGCATTCGAAAACATAAAAAAACAAAACTGAGTATAGATTAGTATTTTAATCAGATTGAATCACAGAACTAGTATATAGTCTTGAAAAAGTTCACTAAGGCACTGCTAAATGAGGTCTATGTAAATGAGGTCTATGTAAATGAGGTATATGTACTTTAAGTATATGTAAATGAGGTATATGTAACTTAAGTATATGTAAATCAGGTATATGTAAGTTAGGTATATGTAAATTGCGTATATGTACATTTTTTTTTTTGAAGGCTTTAAGTATAAATGAGTTAAAAGATATGGAATTTGGAGATTGTGGTGGTGGCGTAAATGGCACAGGACCTGGAAATGGTACTTGGTAAGATTTTTTTACTTTGTTTTTGTAACAAATATTTTCAATAATATTTGCAAATGAATCATGTTCAATCGATGACTAAGAGACAAAAATATGACCGCAGGAAATTAATTGGAAGTAAATCTAAATGGAAATTGTTTTTTGTGTTCTGCATCATAGTTCCGTTAATCAACTGCATGGTTATTTTATTGAATGTGGGTATTCTGACTAAATGTGATTCATTGAATATGGAGAGAGGAATACGGTTTAACGTCCACTCGACACAAACTGGGTCATTTCGGGACTAACATATGGTTCAATTTTATTTCAATAATTCTCTTGCACGTAGGGGTCTTTAGCAGTGGAAGGAAACCGGAGAAAACCCACAAGGTTGGACAGGCGACCCTACTCCTTGTCACATACATTTAATAAATGTGGTTATTTTATTAATGAAATGGGGTTTAACGTCCGACTGGAGTTATGAAGGTATCTTTTATGAGCACGCCAATGTGTACACAGGACCTCAGTTTTTCATCCCATCTGAACGACTAGATAGCTGTCCTTGTCAGGCCCTCCATCTTGCACCATTCACAAGAGGAAACCACACCGGAAAATCACGGCTTGCTTGTTAGCGTCTTACTCGCTTAGCCACTGTGGCTCCCCTATATATTAATAACTTCTTGTATTTCAGTGTTTTGGGTATATATATTATATTAATTTTATTTTTCAGTGTTTTGGGTATATATATTATGTTAATTTTATTTTTCAGTGTTTTGGGTATATATATTATATTAATTTTATTTGTCAGTGTTTTGGGTATATATATTATGTTAATTTTATATTTCAGTGTTTTGGGTATATATATTATGTTAATTTTATATTTCAGTGTTTTGGGTAATAATTATCTACAGGATCAAGCCATTGATTATGATACCACCTGGTATCTATGGAGAACACAGGTAGCGCTCGCCAGTATCAGTTTCATCTTTCTAGCGTTAGGTTATCTCAAATTACTTACCATGAAAAAATTGAAGTAATTTATTTTTCTTGACACATGTAATAAACACAAAAACATAATATTGAACACAATTACTATTTTAGTTAAAGCGACGTATTTTGGGGAGTTATCTTAATCTGATTAAAATACAGATCTATATTTCGTTACATTTTTTTATTCTTTCGATGGCCTCTACTACATGAAGATCTGACCAGTTGTAGTGGGAGGTCGCATCAGAGGTTGTACAAGCGGCTTTTGACCCTTTAACGGCAGGCATTGATTAATCAATCGGTGTTGTCGTTTCTAGTGGTTTACCCACAGTTCCCTGCATCGCATGTCAAGAAGTCGCTATAACAGATGGTTTCATTGGCTAATCCCTCATGCCATCCAGAACACGGGTTATATAACAACTCTTCCAGAGTGTAGTACAGACAAATAAAACAAAATTTTGAATTTTAAAAAACGAAAGAAATAATCAGATTGGGAGTTCTCTCAAAGTTATCAAACAAATGATGATAAGAGAGAAATGGGGTTTAACATCCACTCGACACAAACTAGGTCATTTCGGGACTAACACATGGTTCAATTTTATTTCAATAATTCACTTGCAGTGGAAGGACCCGGAGAAAACCCACGAGGTTGGGCAGGTGACCCTATGCCTTGTCACGTACAACCGGGGAATCGAAACCATGCCAGTTGACTCAATGACAGACCTTATGATACAACGCGCACGGGCTAACCATTCGGCCATCCAACCCCCCTTATAATATACAGAAGGTTTATATACAAAAAAAAACAAGTAACAAATAAATAATCAATAGGGAAACCATTAAAAGAGTAATTGTGTTCCATATTATTTTTTTTTGTGTTTATTAATTAATTTTTTGATATGTAGAAAATTCCATTTCATTTGTAATTTTTATGTTTTTGTCATTTTGGGTTTTTTTTTTTATTAGCAATATTTTTATTCAGATTTGTATCTGAATAGGGATTGGGGAACAGGCATAGCCTTTATTCTATAACTACATGCAAATACAAGAAAATATCATTGAATACAGCCATTGAATCAATGGCTTGTACACTCACTACTTTTGTCCAGAATGACATTACTTTCAGAATTATGTCAAACTGTAATGACGTCACCATTAGGCAACCACCCTATTTGTAAAAAAGAAAGAAAAAAGGGCGGAACCTTTGATGAATTGTTTTTTGGGATAATCTGCATAGTACAGTGTATTTTGAGATTTGCATGTAGTTATAGAATAAAAACAGAACTCAATGACTATTGTATACCGCTCGGGTTATTCAATGGTTCGCTCGAGTGTAGCCTATCCCTGCCGCATTCCAATCGCTAGCGCTCGTGGAATACTTGCGCAGGGTAACACTCTCTTGAACCATTGAATAACCCGAGCGGTATATATTATAAACCCCTCTCCCTATTATTTTGTTGATAACAGATATCCTAATATTGCGCCATGAGAACGTTTTGTGGATATACCGCTTTATAAACGGACATGTTATTATTTATATATATAAGCTGTTTATAGTTTTTATGGAAAAAAAATCAAAAATCAAAAGAAAAAAAATACCAATTTTAAGGGTTGTCTTCCCTTGTTTAACTAAATCAATGGTGTTGTAATATTCTATGGTTTATCGTTTTAATCATGCTGTTTTGGGGGGAAAGTAGCTGACTATCATAAATGGGTTCGTCCGTCTGTCATGGCGTAATGTTGAACATTTGAACATTTTGACTGAGTTCGATGATGACCATTTTCTGCTTACATTAAGCTGAGATAAGTGCTTGGTGTATATTTTTATTACATCAATACCTCAACTTAGTTCGATAATGAGCGTTTTCTTCTTCGGTTAAGCAGAGTGATTCGTAATTTGATTACTTGATGCTTTACTAAAAGATGAATGCGCAAGTAGTTAATTAGTGTCTTCTATTTATTTTGGGATCAAGGCACAGGGAGTATCAACCTCACTGTTGGCTTGTTGAGGCAGTGTGGGGGTATCAGCCTCACTGTTGGCTTGTTGAGGCAGTGGGGGGTATCAACCTTTTTGAGGCAGTGGGGGTATCAGCCTTGTTGAGGCAGGAGGAGCATCAGCCTCACTATTGGCTTGTTGAGGTAGGAGGAGTATCAGCCTCACTGTTGGCTTGTTGAGGCAGTGTGGGTATCGGCCTCCATGTTGGCTTGTTGAGGCAGTGGGGGTATCAGGCATTTTATGTTGTTTTATTTTATGACGATGTCCGCATCATGTATATTCAGAATATTTTAAGTAATTATAAAAAAAATCTAAATTCTGCATTTAATTTGTATTTCCTTAAAACCTCTGTATGTTATTTGTACATCCTTAAAACAAAGTCTTGATTATCCATTTTTACGTTTACTCATCCATCACAATCTAGAGTTGATTATGGTCTGGATAAGTTAATTAATGTCTAATTAATAATTTAGATAACATTTTAGGCCTAATTGCATAATGTATGTTTAATATTTAATCAAGAAAATAAAATCAGTGGTTGAGGCGTGAATTCAAAAGAGGCCCATCAAAAGATTTTACCAACACTTATATGTGGCATTGGTTTCTTTATATCGTCTGCAGTGGATCCTAAATGTTGTGAATTTTCAATTCAGAGAATACCTCGAATACCAATTAGAGAATCTCTCAAATATCAATTAGAGAATCTCTCAAATATCAATTAGAGAATCTCTCAAATATCAATTAGAGAATCCCTCAAATATCAATTAGAAAATCCCTCACATACCAATTGGAGAATCCCTCACATACCAATTGGAGAATCCCTCAAATGCCAAACAGAGAATCCCTTAAATGCCAATTAGAGAATCCCTCAAATACCAATTAGAGAATCCCTCAAATACTAATTAGAGAATCCCCCAAATACCAATTAGAGAATCCCTCAAATGCCAATTAGAGAATCCTCAAATGCTAATCAGGGGTTTTAATGAATATAGTTGTAAACTGGTGTATACATTATTTAGATCATAATTTATTATTTGATCAAGAATTCCGCAAAGTGTTGTTTTATTTTTATAACATTATTATGTTCAGGTATCAAGTTTGTTAAATTAGATTTATATAAATAAAAACATAGTTTAGTTTTTTTTTAACAATTTTGTTGTGATTGTTTTGTTACTGCCTGGATTGGAATTAAGAAATCGAACTGTGATTTTTGCATGGGTGGAATAGTCATACCCACAGTACAGTCAATATTTTTAAAATTTTGAATATGATTCACCATATCGTAATGCACAAATGCTATTTTGCCTGTACATGCCGGACATGTCCTGCGCTATTTTCCAAATGTCTGACCAGGAATCTGCCCAATCGGACATCAAGAGTGTACTGAGTGTATAACTACCGTGCAACCCGATTATCGTTGATAATAGGCTGGATTGATTAGGTAATTAAGTGATCAACGTATTTATTGTGTTCTACCATCTAAACACCCATCTTGATTAACTACTTAATCTGGCTTGATTGGCTGACTTATCCATTGTCAGACAATTCATCAATCAAATCCTGAACAGAAGTCATTGCTTCTCCTTTGTTGGACCATGTATCAATCCAATAAAAGTGATTATAAACTTAATCTACATTTTAATCTCCTTGATGTCAGAAACTAGTCATGTGATTGGTCGTATTCTAGGGAAGACAATTGACATATGGCGGGTTGGGTGGCTGAATGGTTAAAAAGAGAGAGAGAGAGAAATGGGGTTTAACATCCACTCGACACAAACTAGGTCATTTAGGGACTAACATATGGTTAAATTTTATTTCAATAATTCGCTTGCGCGTAGGGGTCTTTTAGCAGTGGGAGGAAACCGGAGGACCCGGAGAAAACCCACGAGGTTGGACAGGCGACCCTACTCCTTGTCACGTACAACCGGGGATTCGAAACCACGCCAGTTGACTCAATGACAGGCTTTATGATATAGCGCGCACGTGCTAACCATTCGACCATCCAACCCCCCTGAATGGTTAAACAAGTGCACTTTAGATCAAAAGGTCTGTCATTGAGACGAGTGGTCTGATTCTCGATTTCCCGCTTATAAGTGACAAGGAGTAGGGTTACCTATCAAACCTCATGGGTTTTCTCCGGGTCCACCACTGCATAAAGACCACTACACGCAAGCGATTTATTGAAATAAAATTGAATTATATGTTAGATCCAAGGGATATTTAATAAGAAAAACACTCAAAAAATTCTAGCATTTATTTTCTTCTCAGATAAATATTTCTAGTACATAAAACTTGATCAAGATTTTACAATAAAAGAATTTTTGGATACATTTCAAGAAAATTTAGTTTTTTTTATAAAAATAACAACCCAATTGGAATGCAGGAAATGATCAAAGATGTATAATATAGCACAATTAAAATTTGATATTTACATTCATTCCACTGGCTAGTTTTATCATTAATTTAATATTAAATCCAATATTACATACAATTACATATACTACGATTTATAAACAAAAATAATACTCACATTTTTAGTCAATCAATGGACAATTTGAATGTTTTGTAAATCAAATAACGAATGTGTTTGCTAGCCAGTCAATTTTTAGGTATTTTGGATGAGAGAGAAATATTTTACAAAGGTTTACCATTTAACAATATATTTTTAAGGGTTTTTTACACATAACAATATAGATTAAAACGGACCATTCCGATTTTAACAAAGTCTCAGAAATAAAAGTCTGTGTAGGTATGAATTCAAAGCGCCAAAATATTTAGGAATGGTGTATTTACCTTGTCTAAAAATTTCACCCCTATTGCCATTCCTATAGAGATAATACAGGTCACAATTCTATAGAATACAATTACTGCTGCTTATTACTAGTCGAAACGTCGCTCAGTAATAAGCAGTAATTGTATATCACCTCGGTGGAAGCGGACGTAAAATACAACTAACTAAGTAAGTAAGTCCATAGAATTGTGACCTGTATATTCCAATTCCTTTAGAGATCTATACAGTACATGACCCACTTACTGTACTTGATAACGAAAGGTAAGTTTCACATACACGTTATTCTGTGATGAAATAACTAACTTGACGGACAGTAAGATCTCCAGTCAGTGAAGACTAGTAAAATAGAACCAAATCAAGTGCCCTGGAGTGACAAATATGACCAAGAGAAAAAACGTACACACCCCTTGAGGTTGGGGCACCCTTAAAAGAAGAAAAATCATGAATGAATTGGTAATAAATGGCAGGCCTGGAAATAACAGTTTTACACGTACCTGACAAAATGTCAGACTCTAATGAAATAGTACTTGACATTTTCAACTTAGTGCCAGACATGTATTAATAATATCAATAAAAAAGACAAATCAGTGCCGGACAAAATGACAGGCACCAGAGGTTTTGTGCCTGACATTGTCTGTGACAGGTGCCTTATTTCCAGGCTTGATAAATGGAAATACAGTACATGTTGATTACAAATATTTAATATACAAGAATAAATACAAATAACGTAGATGGAAGGACGGAAATACAAACAAATCTAAATTTAGAACAACATCTAACATTCTATCGACATCAACGGCAACCACTCCTCCCTTTATACTGTGAGCATGTGCACACGCATTTTACGAGTACACAAAGGATACATGTATTAACACTGTAACCTAGGTATCATTTAATCTTGTGTATTTAGCAATAATTTCTTTCACATTCATCCAATATCAAATCACTGTTTAAAAATACGTAAAATTCATTTAAAATCACCCAAAAATCATCTAATTTGTACTAGTGTCCAGTTTAAAAGCTGACTGATTAATTTTGACAATGAGTGTCCAAGTTACAAGTAGTTTTAAACACAGATTTGATATGGAATGAATGTGAAAGAAATTAGTCCTAAATGCACAAGATTTAATGATACCCAGGTTACAGTGTAATGTGAGCACATATTTCAGGCCATTAACTCAAATATTCAGGTTCTTGGATATCACCGCATCCAGAATGTTTCGGCATGAGAAATTGGTTATACTCAATCTATTTCAGGTTTACAATTTGTAGAAATATCTTGTGCATATTTCATTGTGACACTGTAAGATTTTTATGCAGATCAACTGTCAGAATTTAGAGGGGAACATTGACAGCCAAGAATTGTAGCCTACATGATAGTGACGGTAGCAATAAATGATCTTTATGGTACCATTCATTGTCATAATTGATGTCGTTAAAATATTAAATGCATTTCGAGATAGAGACAAAAAGTTGATGGACATCTAGAGAGTTTGATAATACATTGTATAAACCCGTGACTCTAATCACAGATAACAATTGGATGGACATATTGTGAGTTCAAGAAATATATTTCTATGAACGTGTCCGTCTCCCACGTTCGTTCATTCGTTTCTAGAGTTTTAAGTCCACTTCCAACAAGGGTGATATCGTAGACCAGTATATTTCCATAAACCTGGGATCTATTTATAGCGAGAGTCTATAGGGAGGATCTATTTAATGGGCGCGTCTATTTGATAGGATCTATAGGGAGGGTCTATTTGATAGGGAGAGTCTATTTGTAGGGAGGGTCTATTTGACAGGGAGAGTCTATTTGTAGATAGGGTCTATTTGATATGGGAGGGTCTAATTGGAAACTTCCACAAGCAGAGTTAAGACATCTTGTTACATAACCCAAAATTTACAGTAGATGGAATGATCACCCAACCAAGACAATCCCCATTCAGGAGCCCTAAACCAGACAACCCCCATTCAGGACCCCTAGAGTATATACTAGTTCTACAACTCCGGTGGTTTTAGTCCGCTTAGGGAGCAGTAGTTTCACACTATAACGGTCATTGTAAAATAAGTCTAGATGCTAGGGTCGAGTCCTGTGTCTTTTTTTTATTAATATCACAATATAGTATATAAAATATTCTTCTGGTTAATCAAGTCTAATACCACATGTTGAATACTGCTACAACTTGTTAATCCACACTACAATGTAATACTGTATTGTATATATCTCACTGGTTAATCTTGACAAAAACTTTAGGCCGTGAAAATATCTTTATGGCTTCTTCAACTTCACTAAGTTTTGTCTCGATGTCATTTTTCACGGTGCGTATCCGCATGGTGTCTGTGCGTAGAGGAAGTTTCGACATCTGGTTTTGTAGCTCACCTTGTTCTGAAGAAAAAAAAATCCACATAATATAAATAAATTCTCCCAGAACATTTTTTTTTCATTTCTGGGTGAAGAATAATTTTAAAAACAAAGTATGTACGAAATTTAAAGCGACATTTTCAACGATTTTTGCGAATTTTCAAAAAAAGATTTGATATTGAATAAATGTGAAAGAAATTAGTGCTAAGTATACAAGATTAAATGATACCTGGGTTACAGTGCACTGTCATGGATATATCATGCCGGTAAATCTTAAGGCACTTTCTCGGCCAACACCGGATTGACACATATGTTCATTAGGTGAATGTCTTGACTGAGTTCAATGATTAACATTACGAGGTAAAGCATTGGTCAATGCTTTAGGAGAAGATAATTTTGATTCTATCTGATAGAGAGGGATGAAACTTAGTGTATAGTTGATAATCAGTTTGATCTCTTGATACTTTTGAAAAACATAAATGTGCGATAAATTAAAATGTGTCATCTATTTATTTTGGGATTTCGGCGGGGGGACATCAGCCTCAATGTTGGCTTGTTATTTTATTTTAGGGTGAAATGAAATGGGGTTTAATGTACCGGATTGATACCCAGATCCTCTAGGTTAGAGGAGATTATTTAGAAAGAGAGATGGAGTTAAACGTCCATTCGACACAAACCAGGTTATTTTGGGACTAACATATGGTTCAATTTTATTTCAATATTTTGCTTGCACGTAGGGGGTCTTAGCAGTGGGAGAAAACCAGAAAAAACCCACGAGGTTAGACAGACGACCCTAATCCTTGTCACGTACAACCAGGGAATCGAAACCTCGCCAGTTGACTCAACGACAGACCTTATGATACAACGCGTCCGCGCTAACCATTCGGCCATCCAACCCCACCCATTTAGAGACAGATGAATCTTACTTTTAATTAGAAGATCTAAAGTTTCCCGCCTTTCTTCATTACTTAAAGCTCGATGTCCAGGTGGCATGGTAGGGTCCGGTGTGTTCGCTATTCTCTCCTCATCCTCACGTTTCCACTGAGCTTTTCTTGCCTTTAAACTGGAATAAAATAAACAATTCATTAATTAACATCATTTAAAATTAAACTGGAATAACAATAAACAATTCAATAATTAAAATCATTTCAAATTCATTTATCTACGATCTAATGCCTGGACTCTCTGACTAGTATAAACTGAACATAACCCATAAACTGTGTAGAAACCATTATTAAAGCACCTTAATCAAATAAACTTACTAGATGAGGACTTCCCCATGCTGATAATAAAATAAACTTACTATTTGGGGACTTCCGCACGCTGATAATAAAATAAACTTACTATTTGGGGTCTTCCCCGTACTGATAATCAAATAAACTTACTATTTGGGGACTTCCCTACACTGATAATCAAATAAACTTACTATTTGGGGACTTTCCCACACTGATAATCAAATAAACTTACTATTTGGGGACTTCCCTACACTGATAATCAAATAAACTTACTATTTAGGGACTTCCCCGCACTGATAATCAAATAAACTTACTATTTGGGGACTTCCCCACACTGATAATCAAATAAACTTACTATTTGGGGACTTCCCCACGCTGATAATCAAATAAACTTATTATTTGGGGACTTCCCCACACTGATAATCAAATAAACTTACTATTTGGGGACTTCCCCACGCTGATAATCAAATAAACTTACTATTTGGGGACTTCCCCGCGATGATAATCAAATAAACTTACTATTTGGGGACTTCCCTACACTGATAATCAAATAAACTTACTATTTGGGGACTTCCCCGCGATGATAATCTGTCAATTCTCTCTCTTGTTTGTTCTTCAAATCATCTAAAGCTGTTAACGATGGACTTTTATGTAATTTTCCATGTTTAGCTCCAATACCATTAACTTTTATAAAATCAAAATTATTACGCACCAGATTCACCTACATAAAAAAAAACAAACAGGTAATAGTATTTGTGTGGCGGCATAGGAAAACCCTTCACATGGTGAAAATTAAAAAAAAATTATTTTGGGTATGTATGCAGCAAGCACAAATTGGGGATCAAAATGGTCTATAAATGGTCAAAATCGGTTGAAAACTTGTGGAGATATTCATAATTTAATACAAGAAAATGACCCATTTGGTAGAAAAATGAAATGGGAGAAAATGCAGTTGAAACATAAATGTTGATATTTCACACTTTCGGGGCAGTTTATAGTACTCATTTTTACGCAATGTCACACTATTTTTTATTAACAATAAGAAGACAATATTTATTTTTGTGCTAAGAAATATTTACAATATTTTGGTGTTTTAGTAACTGCGTCTTCGAGACTTGAAGGGGATTTAAATGTAGAGAATTCCGATTTCCTCGTGGGCGCCGCCATCTTGGACAATTTGTAAACAATGGAATACGACTAGTGTTAACGTATTTCGGTAAATAACTGACTTCTTTCTATTGAAAAGGTTATGAAACTCGATCAAAATCAATTAAATAGATGTTGCTTTTGTAGAATTTAGTATTGATTGAACCTTATAGTGAGAAATCTACCCAAAACAGGACGTAAAAGTCGAATAATTGAGACAAGGGAATGGACTTGTTTGTTTGATGCGCGTGGGAACTATTTCTTTTGTATTTATGCGCACTATAGTTAGTAATGTACTGCTCATAACAGGCTTTATAATGATGTGTGAGTGTGCAAAAAGGCAACTTTATAAAGACACCGACGAAATAGGCCAACATTGTTATGACACCGGCACCGTTCTGCAAGTCTCAAACGGTTCAGAATATTTCAAAATAAATGTATTTAAAATGATTTTTCTGTTTCACAACTCTGAAGTTTCATAGATAAATGTTTAATAAATTTAAATATGTCAAGAACGGAAAATTGACCTATATATTGTTTGCCATTGTATTTTGGCATATATCTCGGATTGAGCCAGCGCGACATCTGACGGGTTTTCCTGTGTCGCCACACATTTAATCCTTATAATAGCAATAGTATTTAATCCTTATAATAGTATTTAATCCTTATAATAGTATTTAATCCTTATAATAGTAATAGTATTTCATCCTTATAATAGTAATTATTCAAATAGGGGGTGAATCTCAGGTGGGGTGGATGGCCGAATGGTTAGCGTGTGCACGTTGCATCATAAGGTCTGTCATTGAGTCAATTGGCGTGGTTTCGATTCCCCGGTGACAAGGAGTTGGGTCGCATGTCCAACTTTGTAGGGTTTTCCCTGGGTCCTCCGGTTTCCTCCCACTGCTAAAGACCCCTACAAGCAAGCAAATTATTGAAATAAAATTGAACCATGAGTTAGTCCCGAAATGGCCTGGTTTGTGTTGAGTGGACGTTAAACCCCATTTCACTCTCTCTATTTAAAGATGCATTATGGAAGATTAGATAACGAGTTGACAGTTCTCACTATAATAGTTAAAAACTACATAATGTAAAGGCAACTTGCTGAAAATTTCAGTCAAATTGATCCACTATGAACCGAGAACTAAGCGGATGCAAGTTCCGCTTAGCCTCGATCATCATTACTGATGTCGATAAGACAAAACTAATAGTCTTGATTATCCATTTAATCCTTAATCACGAAGGAAAATTTTGCAGCAAATCGGACTGTAATCCAACAAATATCGCAGGCAAGCCTTGGCATCGAGAGCTGATTATGGTCTGGATATGTTAATTAATGTCTAATTAATAGTTTTTATAACATTTCAGGCCTAAAGAAAGACCTACAATAGGCCGATTTTGCTCTTGCATAATGTATGTTTAAATAGTTCTTTGAAAAAATTGGAGAAAAGTGATCATCTTTACATTGACCTTTCGTAGCTCTTTCTCGAAACCGCCCAAAATTACTGCTGCCTCGAGCACCTCAAACTGCATGCATAACAGAACTAGCATGAAGAGCTATACTTGTGACTCATGGTTTGAGGCGCTACAGAGAACAATTCTTTCGTTAAGTTGATCATGATAACCAACATATTAAATTTGAATTTTGGGCATAATTCTGGTCTTCATCAACTAAGTCTCACTAAAACAATATAAATATGATGTAAATCTTACCTTGCTATCAGCGAGAGGTACCGATACTTTATGGTATTCAGGTGTACATGGTCGACTCTGTAGTTTAATTACTGGACCAGATCGAGAATGAGCACGTAGATAATTAGCTGATTGTGGTCTCGGAGCACGTGGTTCTTTCTGAAATAATATTTATAATAATTTCTAAAGCCATCATTTTACTACATTGGCATTATACATGAGAACATACAATAAAATGGAGAAAACCCACGAGGTTGGACAGGCGACCCTACTCCTTGTCACGTACTACATTGGCATTATACGAGAACATACAATAAAATGGAGAAAACCCATGAGGTTGGACAGGCGACCCTACTCCTTGTCAAGTACAAACGGGTAATTGAAACCATGCCAGTTGACTCAATGGCAGACCTTATGAAGCAGTACGCAGTAACCCTTCAGGCATCCATTCCTCCTGAAGTCAAAAAAAAGACCTGCAATAGGCAGATTTAGTTCTTATAATGTATCATTAAATTACAACATGCATACAGAAGCTGAGTTTTTCACCCAATTCCACAAAGTATACTCAATTCCTTGCCAGATTCTATGTCCTGTATCGGGCTAAAATTTAAAATATAACAAAGCAATGTCAATAAAGTGTAACATACCACAAGTTCTTCTACCACTTTTGATGGAACATTTTCAAATTTACTTGATTTCCATAAAGCTTTCATCGGTTCTTGACTTGATTTTTCATTCTCTCGACTTTTACGCTGTATCTGTCGCATACGTCTCACATTTTCTTGGATGTGATTTTTCGAACTAAAATTTTGAACTGAAATGAAGAAGGAATGCATGAATTAAGACACAACATACATTGGTGAACTTTAAAACCCAGATTCTAGAAGCTAACCCATCAAAATATCATAAACAGCAAACAAACAATGTATATATTCTTACACAAACAATGTCCGGAACAAGGGTTCTTAATCCATTTTAAAACAAACCGACCAGAATTGGGTCAAATGAGGTCTCAGTAGGAAATGGGTTAATTATGAGCTTCCATTCCCTTTAATATAACGAGACTTTCACAAAAATAATTCTTGGTAATTTGTTATGGAGAATGTTGTATCCTGATGTATGTGATTACCGGACCAGAACAATTTCAGAATTTATCAGGTACAAGTCATCTCATACCTGTGGTTAAATTGTCTGGCACAGATTCGTCATTATTAATTATACATGCCCTGTTCAAGGGCTTAATCTAAAAGTTAAGGCCAGCTCAATTTTTGTCAAGGTCTTTGAGATGCAAATAAGGTTAGGGCACATGATTTTTGGCGAGATTGTAGGTCAGGGTTAGTGTAAGCATTGGGGCTATGTCCAGGGTTAGGTTTAGGGTAAGGATTAGCACTAGCCCTGTTTACATCTTGTGATCTATAGCTATAGGGAAAAACTGAGCTGGCCTTATCATTTAGCACTAACCCTGTACAAGGTTTAAGATATAGAGTACTAATTCAGATACAACTTCAATCTTTATTTAAGCCTGAAAGTCAGCCTAAATTGAGATTCCATAATTTGGCATGGCTTTAAAATTTGTCCATCACACATACTCCAGGTATGTGAAGTTACTCACAGGTAGGCTATATTACACTGTTAACCAAATTAGACAAATTCTAATATAGCTTGGGTCCTGCATAATTATCTCTTCTTGGACATATCGAGATGACTAAGACACAAGCTGGAGAGAGAGAGAGAGAGAGAGAGAGAGAGAGAGAGGTTTAATGTCCACTCCACACAAACTAGGTCGGGACTAACACATTGTTTAATTTTATTTCAACTTGTGCGTAGGGGTCTTTAGCAGAGGGAGGAAACCGGAGAAAACAAATGAGGTTGGACAACCAGGGAATCAAAACCCCGCCAGTTGACTCAATGACAGACCTTATGATACAGCGCACACATGCTAACCCTTCGGCCATCCACCCCATGTGACACAGCCAATATAGGAGCCTACCTGAATTATATTGTTTAGGACCTCCATAGCTGTGTCCGTCAACTTGAAACATTAAACTCTGCATCTTTAATTGGGAATGACAGGAATCTAGCTTCTTTCTATCTGATCAACTATTTTATTCAAATCTTTGTGGAATGTAGTCTCTGTTGTTTTCTTTGTCTGAAAAATGTTTAAATTTAATTTAAACATATAATCTTTATTAACCAACTTGGAGCGATGTCAATCAGTAACATTGCTCAGGAATTAATATAGAGCGAATCTCTAAAGCATCGCGCAAAGCACAGTGCTTAAGCACAGTTTTTTTCTGGTAACACAGGAGCGTAAACTAAAACTGTCACCACAGACTGTTGATTAAAACAAATTCAGACCGGAACCGGATACACTGGGCAAAAATGGCAATGCCCACACTTTTATGTTCTTTTTTTTCTAAACAAAATTAATGATACAATTTAGATCTAAATTATAATCAATTCGGAAAAATAAGATTATTTAACATTACTTGGATCACTTGAGAAACTGAATTATGAAGGTTTTATATTTAACAACAAGCACTTCAGCTTCGCTCTACTCAGGCAATGCCTGTTACATGTTATAAGTATAAGATGGGTTTGTATTAAACATGTACCGGGTATTGCGAATACTCGTCTAAAACTAAAAATGAAATGGAGTTTAACGTCCTACTGTTCTACTCCTAACCTGGGCTAATGAAGACGGCTAAAACTAAAAAAATAATATTTATAAATTCTGATTTCAGAAAAGACAAGTCTACCAGTTAGGCAAATTTAGCGCTTACATAATTTCTTTTTGATAACTGTCTCATCAAAGAAAACGATTATGGGCGTAACCATTAATTTGCCAGCACTGCATGGACTTGTTGACGCTTATTTTATTTTTTTTTATTTGAAAGTTTATCATAGCAACATAAAAAAATATTTCAATCCAACACAAATTATCTTTTGATTACTGTAATTATCCGCATTTTGTGTTCAGAACATAGTCTATTATTAATTTATCTTTAAAACGGCGCTTTAACTTAGGTTTTAATAAACAAATATACCTTTTACGTGCATTTTCACATTTTTCAGTAAGCATTGGAAGCCATTTTCTAAACATGAGTCACGTGACATGCGGCATACCGCGGTGTTTTCCGTAAATAGTAAATCTTGTTATTTTTATTATTTTAGCATCTTATTATTCGCATAAATCACGAAAATGAAAATTCATAAATAATTGTACGTAAAAATGAAAGTATTTTGAAGTCGCATTTCGATGAGATTAATGGCGATTACGTCATTGTCATGGAGATGTAAACATCCGGTCAATGGCGGCAACTTGAAGAAACATTAATGTTTAGAAGTCGAAACTTACAAAAAAATACAGTGTAAAACCGAAACAAGTGACTAATTAAATTTGAGAAGTGTTGAATATTCGTTTTCGAAGTTTGCAGTTTCTTTAAAATTGTCATTATGTAGGCCAAAGAAACGCGGCGTGCACCCGTAAACTGTAGCGTTGAGACGTGTGAGTTATTCGTTTTTTTAACAAAACAAAAAAAAAGAAAAAAAAAACCTGGATAAAAATAGAAAAGACCAAACTGAGTTTCGTTGAGAGGAAGAGAGAACGAACAGATCAGAATTCAGACCAAACCGTTAACAGTGATATGCAAATTATAATCAAACTGAAATCTTGGTCCGTTTCTTGATTAATTTAGAGTCTAAATAAAATTGTTGAGAAATTTGGTTTTTTATTATTAAAAAACTCAAACTTCATTTTTTTTTTTATTCAAAGGCTGAAGTGGGAATTCAAATATTTGATACAGGACCAAAACAATTCTAAAACCCAAAGTAGAAGAGAAAATGTCTCGTGCTGCTGTGTCGAAATCCCGTGCTGAGAAGGGGAAACCCCCAGCATCTCAGACACCAGTTATTACACAGGAAATTGTTCCTGGTAAATTTAACGATAATGATTGGTAAGATTTATTCTTTTTAATTAATGATCTAATTTCATTTTGTAAATGTAGCAGGGATATGCCAATATGTGATTATTCATATTTTTATCTGGAGATGAGTATGACCAGACCGGAGGACTAGATTGTTCTGTTCTGTTGTGTCTCCATCTTGAAACATAAATAAAAAAAAAATGTTTGACATATTGAGATTAGAACTATCTGATACTGAAACCATTTTTAATATCTTGGTATCGTTTGGTGCTGGGTATTGCCATTGCAGTCACAATACGATACATATTGAATTGCGATTCAGATGCTACGATATAATTCATATCGCGATTCATAACCAGGTCAGTATTTACCCAAAAAGCACCATTATAATCGAATAATTGATATTTTTAGTCCCGCCGATGTTAAAGAATTAAAACTGTTTTATATCATGATATTGATATCAATAATAAAGACCAAACCAATTTAAGAGTCTTTGTGTACCTATGGATAATGTGTGACATTGATAATTCAGAGTGTCAGGTTACTTACTGAAGCAAGTTGATTGAAATTTTCAGCATATTCTCTTTACGTTATCTATTTTTTAACTATTAAAGCGAGAACTGTCAACCCTTTATCTAATCTCCCATAATGCCCTGTTTAACCTGTGTAGCGCAGAAATATAAGACATTTAATTTTTTTATTTTACCAGGAATGTTATGTTAGAGAAAGATAAGACATTTAACCCAATTTGTTTTATTTTATCAGGAATGTTATGTTACAAGACATTAAACTTTAACCCAATTTGTTTTTATTTTACCAGGAATGTTATGTTAGAGAGAGAATCATCAGAAGAGTTTGTGTTAGAAATAGTTGATGAATTGGTCGGAAGGACAATGGACACAATTTATGGCCGTTATATAGAACGACAGATATTACCATTTACTATAACACAAGCTAAAGATGCAATATTACAAATAATAGAGGTAAAAACAAAGCTATGACATTATTATCACCAACAATATTACAAATACTAGCTATGATATTATTATCACAGACAATACTACAAATAATAGAGGTAAAAACAAAGTTATGATATTATTATCACCAACAATATTACAAATAATAGAGGTAAAAACAAAGTTATGTTATTATTATCACCAACAATATTACAAATACTAGAGGTAAAAACAAAGCTATGACATTATTATCACCAACAATTACAAATAATGAAGTAAAAACAAAGTTATGATATTATTATCACCAACAATATTACAAATACTAGCTATGATATTATTATCACAGACAATACTACAAATAATAGAGGTAAAAACAAAGCTATGATATTATTATCACCAACAATATTACAAATACTAGAGGTAAAAACAAAGTTATGTTATTATTATCACCAACAATATTACAAATACTAGAGGTAAAAACAAAGTTATGATATTATTATCACCAACAATATTACAAATACTAGAGGTAAAAACAATGCTATGATATTATTATCACCAACAATATTACAAATACTAGAGGTAAAAACAAAGCTATGATATTATTATCACCAACAATATTACAAATAATAGAGGTAAAAACAAAGCTATGATATTATTATCACCAACAATACTACAAATAATAGAGGTAAAAACAAAGCTATGACATTATTATCACCAACAATACCACAAATAATAGAGGTAAAAACAAAGTTATTTTATTATTATCACCAACAATATTACAAATAATAGAGGTAAAAACAAAGTTATGATATTATTATCACCAAAAATATTACAAATACTAGAGGTAAAAACAATGCTATGATATTATTATCACCAACAATATTACAAATACTAGAGGTAAAAACAAAGCTATGATATTATTATCACAGACAATACTACAAATAATAGAGGTAAAAACAAAGTTATGACATTATTATCACCAACAATACTACAAATAATAGAGGTAAAAACAAAGCTATGATATTATTATCACCAACAATATTACAAATACTAGAGGTAAAAACAAAGCTATGATATTATTATCACAGACAATACTACAAATAATAGAGGTAAAAACAAAGTTATCACATTATTATCACCAACAATACTACAAATAATAGAGGTAAAAACAAAGTTATGACATTATTATCACCAACAATTACAAATAATAGAGGTAAAAACAAAGTTATAATATTATTATCACCAACAATATTACAAATAATAGAGGTAAAAACAAAGTTATGATATTATTATCACCAACAATATTACGAATAATAGAGGTAAAAACAAAGTTATGATATTATTATCACCAACAATATTACAAATAATAGAGGTAAAAACAAAGCTATGACATTATATCACCAACAATATTACAAATAATAGAGGTAAAAACAAAGTTATAATATTATTATCACCAACAATATTACAAATAATAGAGATAAAAACAAAGTTATGATATTATTATCACCAACAATATTACAAATAATAGAGGTAAAAACAAAGTTATGTTATTATTATCACCAACAATATTACAAATAATAGAGGTAAAAACAAAGTTATAATATTATTATCACCAACAATATTACAAATAATAGAGATAAAAACAAAGTTATGATATTATTATCACCAACAATATTACAAATAATAGAGGTAAAAACAAAGTTATGTTATTATTATCACCAACAATATTACAAATAATAGAGGTAAAAACAAAGTTATAATATTATTATCACCAACAATATTACAAATACTAGAGGTAAAAACAAAGTTATGTTATTATTATCACCAACAATATTACAAATAATAGAGGTAAAAACAATGCTATGATATTATTATCACCAACAATATTACAAATAATAGAGGTAAAAACAAAGTTATAATATTATTATCACCAACAATACTACAAATAATAGAGGTAAAAACAAAGCTATGATATTATTATCACCAACAATTACAAATAATAGAGGTAAAAACAAAGTTATAATATTATTATCACCAACAATATTACAAATAATAGAGGTAAAAACAAAGTTATGATATTATTATCACCAACAATACTACAAATAATAGAGGTAAAAACAAAGTTATAATATTATTATCACCAACAATATTACAAATAACAGAGGTAAAAACAAAGTTATGATATTATTATCACCAACAATATTACAAATAATAGAGGTAAAAACAAAGTTATGTTATTATTATCACCAACAATTACAAATAATAGAGATAAAAACAAAGTTATGATATTATTAAAAAATAAACACAAAGTTATATGGATAACAATTACTATATTTCTATTAAAGCTACGTTTCAACAATGATTCTCTTGTCGTTTTCAAGCACAATAGATATTATTATCACCAACAATTACAAATAATAGAGATAAAAACAAAGTTATGATATTATTATCACCAACAATATTACAAATAATAGAGGTAAAAACAAAGTTATGTTATTATTATCACCAACAATATTACAAATAATAGAGGTAAAAACAAAGTTATGATATTATTATCACCAACAATACTACAAATAATAGAGGTAAAAACAAAGTTATAATATTATTATCACCAACAATATTACAAATAACAGAGGTAAAAACAAAGTTATGATATTATTATCACCAACAATATTACAAATAATAGAGGTAAAAACAAAGCTATGATATTATTATCACCAACAATACTACAAATACTAGAGGTAAAAACAAAGCTATGATATTATATCACCAACAATATTACAAATAATAGAGATAAAAACAAAGTTATGACATTATTATCACCAACAATATTACAAATAATAGAGGTAAAAACAAAGTTATGACATTATTATCACCAACAATTACAAATAATAGAGGTAAAAACAAAGTTATGACATTATTATCACCAACAATATTACAAATAATAGAGATAAAAACAAAGCTATGATATTATTATCACAAACAATTCTAAAAAAAAACACACATATAGAAATTTACCAATATAACCCTCTTCACTGGGGCAAGGAGATGACAGAAGTTTGTGTTATTACTCTTCCAGCTTTTCTACTGCAAACTTTTTGAACATAGTGGTTATAATCAAACAAGATTCCCCTGTTGTACGTGGCAAGTAGTAGGGTTGCCTGTTGAACCTCGTGGGTTTTCTCCAGGTCCTCCAGTTTCCTCCCACTGCTAAAGACCCCTACGCGCAAGCGAATTATTGAAATAAATAAAATGAACCATATGGTAGTCCCGAAATGATCTAGTGTTGAGTGGAGGTTAAACTCTCTCTCTCTCTCTCTCTCTCTCTCTCTCTCTCTCTCTCTCTCTCTCTCTCTCTCTCTAAGCAACAATTGATAAAGGTCTTCCACCCTAAACATGTCATTGATATAACCACTTCTCTATACATTACAGTCAACTTTTTTGCTTGGGGGGGGGGGGGTATTTCTACCTTTGAGAATATATTAGAAATTAATGTTTTAATTGATATTGTGAATATTTTAGTGGCAGTTTCTGATGAGAGATGAAGGAGAAGTATCGCTAGAAACTCAAGCTGGTTGGCAACAAGATGAAGGTATATAACAACAATGTTATCAATTCTACTAATTCATTATTCTATTTGATTATTCTTGTGTATTACACAGAGCCACAGTGGCTAAGTGAGTAACATGCTGGCTTGCTAGCCTGGAGGTCGTCGCATGTTCGCTCCCTGCTTTGGCTGAGACAGTTCATCGGGACTTTCCGATATGGTTTCCCCTTGTCAGTGGTGCAGGATGGAGGGTCTGACAAGGACAGCTGTCTAGTCATTCGAATGGGACGAAAAACCGAGGTCCCGTGTATACATTGGCATACACGTAAAAGATACCCTGGCAGTTGGATTTGGATTTTAGAGTAGGCCATAGTGCCCAAGCAAAATTTCCCTCATAGCACACTGTCGGAGCAGAGCAGGGAGAATGCTCAATAAGTTAACACGTTTTAATTCCCCGCTTGTACGTGACAAGAAGTAAGGTTGCCTGTCCATCTCAGTGGGTTTTCTCCAGGTCCTCCAATTTCCTCCCTCTGTTAAAGACCCCTGCACACAAACGAATGATAATTGAACCATATGTTGGTCCCGAAATGACTTGGTGCCTTGTACCATTATCTGTCATTATTATAATTTGCTGTGTTTCTGTTTAAGAACCTGATCCAGCTGTGACTGATTGTTGGGCCCAAGGTTCCGTACCAAAACGATTTGTTCAAACAGTGATCACTCCGATACCAGAAGAAGAAGAAGTTGTGGTAGAAATCAAACCAGAAGAAGAACCATCACAGTAAGTAACAGAATGACAAATGTTTTCAAAACTTGCACAGATTTGACGTATATCAGTGTTGGAATTCGATATAAGAGTTGGCCCTGGCTCAGCTGTATAGGTATTCAATACTCCAAATCCCCATCCTGATCTGTCTAGTCGTTCGGATGGTATGGAAAACTGAGGTCTTGTGTATACATTGGCATGCACGTAAAAGATCCCCTGGCAGTTGGAATTCGATATAAGAGTAGGCCCTGGCTCAGTTGTCTGGTGCAAGCTTTCCCTCATGATACACTGTATGGCGTATGCTCATCTCATTAGGTCAGTCAGAGCAGAACAGTTGGACGTTAAACTCCATTTCATTTCATTTCATTTCAAACTATCAGGTACAATTTCATAAGATCTTGAAGTATAAATATAATCTGGTTTGTTTGAATAGAAACTAATTCTTCTGTTTTTATTTTATTTAGGAAAGTTGAAGAAATTCTGGCTGAAGATTTACCTGAATTAGAAGATAAAGTTTCAGATAGTGAAGAAGAACATGTTGATGTTGAATCCTCCATTGCTAGAACAGAAACTGATACAAAATCAACACAGGTATGTAATAGTGTTGGGGGGTTGGATGGCCGAATGGTTAGCTCATGCGCGTTGTATCATAAAGTCTGTTATTGTGTCAACTGACATGCTTTTGATTCCTGGGTTGTATGTGACAAGGAGTAGGGTCGTTTGTTCAACCTCCTGGCTTTTCTCCAGGTCCTCTGGTGTCCTCCCACTGCTAAAGACTTGATTGATATCCAATCTGTTTAAAACACAGATCCTAGCTATTGCAGCGGGGTTGGATGGCCGAATGGTTAGCTCATATGCGGGTTGTATCATAAAGTCTGTCATTGAGTTAGCTGGCATGCTTTCGATTTGATTTCCTGGTTGTGCGTGACAAGAAGTAGGGTCAACTGTCCAACATTGTGGGTTTTCTCTGGGTCCTCCGGTTACATCCCACTTCTAAAGAACCGTATATGCGCAAGCGAATTATTAAAATAAAATTGAACCATATGTTGGTCCCGAAATGATCTAGTTTGTGTCGAGTGGACATTAAACACCATTTTTTCTCTCTCTCTATAAAAAATATTGGTCCAAAAATGGTTTAAATCCATGCATCATTTACAAAGATATGTTGAATTGAAAATATAGGTCAAAAATGGTTCAGTATTTATAAAGATATGATGAATTGAAATTTAATTGATCAATGCTGCTCAATATGTAAAGGGAGCTATGGTGGCTAAGTAGGTAAGACGGTGGCTCACTAGCCAAATTCGGCATCCACTGCAGACAATGTATAGAACATAGTCAACACATTTCCACATATGAAATTTTCTTAAAATCTGATTGAATCAACGTTGGGAGATTTTCTACTGTTGATATTTTCATTCCTTGATTAAATTTTAAACATACATTATGCAAGAGGTAAATCTGCTAGCCTGCAATATTTACTGGATTTGAATACATTTTGTGATGGACGATTTAATGTCAAAATGAATAATCAAGACTTGGGTTTTATCGTACCAACTTTAGTAACGATGATTAAGGCTGGTCCCAAAATTCAATCGCTAATATCTTGGCTCAGGATGGAGTAATTTGTCAGCTCTTTATTTAATCTTCCAAAATGCCCTTTAAATACTCAATTTGAGTATACTTTAGTCGATGAAAATTTGATATTGTACATTAATATTCAAACAAACGACAACAACAGCTCTAAGCTTTTAAATTTATTGTTTTCAGTACTTTTCATATTCAATGACATTTTTTTTATTTTATTTTTTAGCCAATCAAAAAGAAAGCGAAATATCGTCCACATCGTGGTCCGTTACGATCTGCTGGACTTAGTCGTATGACAGAATCTTTAGAAGAAACAGAGATGAAATTGTTAACAAAAGAGATAATGAAGACGTTTGTTGGTGAAGATAGTCAGAGAGGTAGTGGAATAATCACGATGCCCATGTCATGTCATTCTATCGTAAAGGTATGTACATAAGCCAGGTAATCAAGTTACCTACATCATGTCATGTAGTTATATACCTGGGGGGTTGGATGGCCGAATGGTAGGGTTGCCTATCCAACCTCATGGGTTTTTCTTAGGGTCTTCCGGTTTCCATCAACTGCTAAAGACCCCTACGTGCAAGCAAATTATTGCTTTAAAAATTGAACCATGTGTTAGTCCTGAAATGACCTAGTTTTTTTTCGAGTGGACGTTAAACTCCACTTCTCTCTCTCTCTGTAGTTATACAGACTTAACTCAAAATGAATTTGAATCATGTTTTTGAAAGCTTGGTGAAGGTGTTCTGATTTTTTTCTATTCTGTGGTCTTGGAATGTACATGTATTTTTTTATTGCAGGCACAAGCTGGTCGTCCACCAGGTAATAAAGATGTTGTTTACGATGATTTAGGAAATGTTATTTCTGTAGTTCGAATAGATCCTGATAAACTACCACAGCACAAGTAAGTTTTATAAATAAATTCTGAGAATCTTCTTCCACCTTGGAGCAGCAATCTAATTAAAATACAGATCTATTGTTCGTTTCGTTTATTTATACTTTCGATGGCCTACACTAACATGAAGATCTGACCGGTTATTGTGGAAGATCACGTCAGATGTCATACAAGCGGCTTTGACCCTACGACATCAGACATTTGATTAGCCAATCAGCGCAGATGTTTCTAGTGGATTACCCGCAGTTTCGCACACCTCACGCCAAAAACTTGCCGTAACAGACCATTTCATTGGTTAATCCCTCACATCATCGAGAACGCAGATGAAGGAAATTTTACCCGAGCAGCGGCACTATGGCCTACTCTTTTTTCGAATTCCAACTGCCAAGGGATCTTTTGATGCACGTCGATGTATACATGGCACCTCGGTCTCTCGTTCCATCAGAACGACTAGACGTACAGATCAGGATATGTACCCATATTTATTTTTTTGTTACGTTTTATTTTCTAGGGTTCGTGTTGGATACAAAATCGTCGATCCAACAGTTGAAGCTGCCCAGGCAAGATTAGAAGCCATGAGACATGGTCGTTATGTCTCCGCAACTAAAATAGTTACCAAGACAACCAGTAACAAACAAAGTAATCTTGATACCTCATCTCCAGGTGGGTGTTATTTTTTATATAAATTTAATATTTTATTTATTTTATCCAACTGAGACATTGGTACTGGAATATTGGTACTTATCATGGTTCTTCATGTGCAGTAATCAACTCAATCTGATTAAAATACACATCTATATTTCATTTTTTTTTATACTTTCGATGGCCTATACTACATGAAGATCTGACCATATGTAGTGGAAGGTCGCGTCAGAGGTCATACGAGCGACTTTTGACCCTATGACGTCAGACATTGATTAATCAACCAGCATTGATGTTTCTAGTGATTTACTCACAATTCCGTTCATCATACGTCAAGACCTCGCTGTAACAAACCATTTCATTGGCTAATCCCTCAAATTAACCAGAACACGCCTTATATAACAACTCCCCCTACACCCAAGCGAATTATTGAAATAAAATTGAACCATATGTTAGACCTAGATTGTGTCAAGTGGACATTAAACCCCATCTCTCTCTCTCTCAAGTGGAGGTCCATAAAGTTAGATGGCTGATTGGCTGTCCATGATGCTGGTCGTGTAAATGTAAAGACCATTCTAAAAGATAAGCGGCCATTTTGATTTATATATAGACATAATCAGGTTTGTTTGGGTTTTTTTCAGTGAATAAAAGTAATAAACCCCAGGCTACAATCACACCATTACCACCTCCACTGGTAAGTTTAAAACTTTAACAAGATTCGATTTAACATTCTTAAAGGACAATTATTGATGTCAGCCATTATCACATATGTGACAGAATTGGTTAAACACGTTCCAAATATAATTTTAACACACAGATCATTCTATATAACTGACTGAAGTGACGATACACTGACAAATTTTTATTTTTTTTCGTTTTTCTCTTATCTAGTGACAGCCAATTATATTTTTGGATTGTCAGATATCCTCTCACAGTCTCATGTTACAACTTTTTGTCTTCAAAGAAATTATCAGTGAGCAGAATTTGGACCGTGTATAACTCCAGTCAGTTATATAGAAGGATAGCTTTTGTTATCCATTTTTTGCGTCACTTCCGTTTCTTCAAATCTTTGTTACGCATCTATCGTAGCAATGAGCTCTGTGTTAAAATTATATTTGGAACGTGTTTAACCAGTTCTATAAAGTCTTAAAAAAAAAAAACGCTATAGGACTCCCTTTCAAACTACAATATTGTAAAGTTTAATCTCTTATAGGAATATCAGTTCCAAAATGGTTCAATTGTGGAATTTTGTTGTGTAATAAACCAGAAAATACATTTTATGGTACGAAGAACATATAGATGGGACAATAAAATTTGAGTCCCCATATATAGATCGGCATGCCCGTAAAAGAACCCTAGATAGTTGGAATTTGAAATAAGAGTAGGCCAAATTTTTCCTCATAGCACACTGCATAGATTATGCCCTTTTTCGTTAGTCCAGCCATTTTATTTTGTGTATTTAATTTTATTTTTCTAGATTGATTCTATAGATGTATCGTCAGGAGTAACGGTAAAAGAAGCTGGTAAAATAAGAAAAGGTCCAGGAAGGGTGAGTGTAATCTTCTCCTCTCCTCTCATACTAAATTTCTCGCCTCCTCTCTCCTTTTCTCAGGGGTTGGATGGCCGAATGGTTAGCTTGTGCCCGTTGTATCATAAGATCTGTCATTGAGTCGACTGGCATGGTTTCGATTCCCTGGTTACACGTGACAAGGAGTAGTGTCGCCTGGGTTTTCTTTGGGCCTACCGGTTTCTTCTCACTGCTAAAGACCCCTACGAATTATTGAAATAAAATTGAACTATATGTTAGTCCCGAAATGACCTATCTCTCTCTTTCTCTCTCTCCCCCTGCTTTCTCCACCCCCATCTTTTCTCCTCTCTTCTCTCCACTGGAACAGGAACTGATTGTTCATGATCAGAACTGGAAGAACCTCGCTGTAAATCATAGGATTATGCTAGACTTTTTAATGATTTATTCTCATTTTTTTTAAATTTCAGTTAATAAGAAGAATAGACTTAATAAGTGATAACGATGGATTACGACCGATTGCTACCAAAGTTTCTGGTCAAGCTATAACAGTTGCTGATATTCTCGACAGACACACTCCAATCCTGCGTCAAATAAGGGATACACCACCCCTTCCTCCTATAATGTCTCACCCACCTGTACAGTAATTCATTGAATGTTGTTTTTTTGTTTTTAATATTTAAATATTATATCAATAGGAGAACTCATGTATGGAACAATTGATCGAACATTTTATTGATCAATTCTTTATACATTTTTATCAAGATATTTCTGAGTGTCAAAACTTGAAATGATTAAATGGAGAAACGACAACAAGTATATCTTAAAATACAAATGATGTAATTGTTGTTGCTTGGTGTTCTGACGTCTGCTGCCACAGGCACGAGTAATAGCACAAACAGTATAAATGGTGAGAATATGCGATATTTTCTAGCCATATCATCAATTCGAAGGTCCTAGCAAATCAAGCATTAAAATTTTCAAGGGTCTCGTCTCTGCCCTTGGCCCACAGAGCAGAATTTTGTATCCTTATCTGAAGATAATGATAACTGAGTTTTGTATAATTTATCAACCAATCGGATTAAAATACAGATCTGACCTGTTGTAGTGGAAGGTCGTGTTTGGGGTCATACGAGCAGCTTTTGAACTAATGATGTCAGACATTTGATTAGCCAATCAGTGTTGATGTTTCTAGTGAAATACCCACAGTTCCATGCACAGCACGTTAAGAACTTGCCGTAACAGACCGTTTCATTGGCTAGTCCATCACTTCAATCAAAACATGAGTTACATAATAATTCCTCCAGATCCTAGTGTGGTAAAGACAAGTAAAACGAAGTTTTGAACAAAAAACAACGTAACGAAATAGGATCTGTGTTTTAACCAGATTGTTTATCAACATGATCTAAACAGCATTTCAACTGAGCAGCATTAGGAACAACTTGGTGTCCAAAATTCCAGTCCATAATTTGCCATTCCCCTTCTTAGCCTGAGTTACAGGTGTTGTAAGTTTCTTTTCCTACAAATGTATACATATTTCATATACTTAATTAATTCATATACCCAAATATTTAAACTCCATATCTTATACATCTAGATTTTAAATGAAATGAAATGAAATGAAATGGGGGTTTAACGTCCTACTGTTCTGCCCCAAGTAGATTTTAAAACAGTTGATGTCATTTGATGGACAATGAATCCCTACTAAATGACAAGACTGTGACAGCTGAAACTGTAAAAGGAATGTCAATCCAAAAATCAATCAATTCCGTTCAATTTTAGTAAATTTTAACCTTGATGAAGCCATGAAAAATTAGATTAGAATCAGCTACATTAATAATTAATCAACATTTGGTCAATTTTATATTCTGTTAAATTGTCTGATAATGCATACTACTGTATAAAGAGTATGAATCAGCCATTCCATTTCGCTCATACATGTCGAACATGTCCGTCTGAATTGACAAAAGTCTGATGGGAAATATGACCAGTCGGACATCGAGATATCGTAAATCAAACCCAACATTCCTAAATATTAGTTTAAACAATATTTTATTCAGGAGAACATTAGTATTTACAATTTATCAAGTGAATTTAACAAGCAAAACTGCTTATATAAAACTGTTTCCTAAATATTGACTGTACTGAGAGCTAATATTAGGTGAGATAAAAATTGACTTCCATAATAAAGTGAAACTGATTGTTTTTATCTCGTGGTATTTTATATACAGGGTGATTTAGTTAATGTATAGAATTGTTATTGTAAATTATTTGATTAAATTTATTATTATTTATATGTTATGTCTTACATCATTTCCTCCATAAATATATATTTTTAAATCTGTATTTAGTTTCGTTGTATTTTAATCCTTGAGTGGCAGTTAGCGATTGAACACAATTTAAAAAAAATACAATACAATGTATATGTAAACAATCAGTGGCGTTTACTCATATAGCACTACGTTTCCATAGTTCAATAGAGAAAACTTGAAAAGCGCAATAGAAACGTCTGTTTTAGTATTCATGCGCTATATAAATAGAGGATTATTATTTTACTATCAGGCCAATGTATACACAGGCCGATGAAGCTTACCAGAATCTCCTGTCCTAGTAGACACGGTGTGTTACCTTAGCCGACACCTCGATTACATGTTGACACTTATAAATTACTTGTTCCTGGTAAAAGCAAAAGTTCGTTATCATGGTAAATCTGGCACCAGTAAACCAAACTCTCTGGTGATTCCATTGGCCCCCTTAGCACATGCTTATATTTGTTAATGTTCTGCTCAATGTGGCGAATATATCCGAGGCACAAACTGTAGACCGTAAATCCATATGGGCATGGCCAGGTGAGGCGTAAATTGAATATACGTTGTGTTTGATAAACAAAACTGTCTTTGTAGATACTCTACATTCAGAGAACCCCGAGAGTTAGCCAGGCACAGGGACCACTTACCCCCAATCTTTCCCTTGTTGGACAGTAAGGTATATTGTGGGTCAGTGAAATGAAATGAGGTTGAACGGTCTCCCGTTCTTCTCCGATTGGGCTAATGAAGACGGACATAGCCATGCACTGTGCTACGAGAGGACATTTTACCCGGACAGTGCCACTAGGGCCTATTCTTATATTGAATTGGTGTTGAGAGATTGTGTCATGTTGGAGAGTTGAGTTTTGAGAGATTGTGTCATATTGGAGAGTTGAGTTTTGAGAGATTGTGTCATGTTGGAGAGTTGAGTGTTGAGAGATTGTGTCATATTGGAGAGTTGAGTTTTGAGAGATTGTGTCATGTTGGAGAGTTGAGTGTTTAGAGATTGTGTCATATTGGAGAGCAATAATCTAAAGAGGATGGAATCTAAGACTTATAAAACAAAGATCGAAAATGAATAGGTGGTATTTTTCCAAGTTTACATAATTAAAAAACGTCCAGTCCATTGAAAATGCTGATGATCCCCATTAACACCAGGCAGCTTATAATTAAACATACCTGTCACCAGTCACATTATCAGGTACAGTTGCACAGATGTTTGTGTCTTTTTCAAGCGAAAACATTGAAATAAATGTTTAGGTCAGTTCCCAGACCATCACGAGCATCGCAGTAGTTTTAGTTTTATTCGTTTGCATTGCATTGTGTTCACACCAAGTAAGAATGCTGATTGAGTCGTTTTGTAGATCACTTTGACTATTTGCTTTGAAGAAAACAACCGTATATCGTCAGTGAATAGAACACAGTTTAAATGTGAAGAGGTAAGTCATCGATGAAAATATAAAATAAGAGAGGTCCTAAAGCCGAACCTTAGGGCACGCAATACAATATCATGTGGTTTCAATGAGGTTTTCAACGTTATAATCATAATCATAATGCTCAACCAGTGTCAACATATACCGTGGGTTAGATATGCTACAAAACGACTCTAGCATGTTCCAATATTAACCGGTGGCACTGGAAGGGAATGCGACCCCACCACCCCCTGTCCACACATATAAGTATTATTTTTTGGGTGGCCGGGCGGGATCCTATTCTTCTTGCAAAATCATGGGTCACTACGCCCATGTAGGAAATGTGCTCGAAGGTCATTGAGTTCATAATATAAAGAGTTAATATTGGAACCGTTTTTTATTCCTAGCAAACAACAAATGTAACTTGCTACCCGTTTTTTTTCTTTAATTTATGTTATTTGACATTAAGTGTAAATTGTTTTGATTATGTCAGTTATTGAACTTGTCTAGTTAAAAGTATTTTTTAAAAAAAAAATAAAAAAAATATGCGCATCAGTCGCTTGATGTAGCTTAGGATTTCTAGGGGTCAGGGGCCTGTTTCACGAAATTTTAACGAAGATAAAATCCAAATTTTAGTAATTTGATTAGATGATATTAGATTGATTTTGATGCTTAGCCAATCAAAATTGAAGTAGCTACTAAAATTTGGATTTTATCTTTAGTTAAGATTTCGAGAAGCAGGGCGGGATTATAAAAAATATAGAAATGATGGACTATATGTCATGAGTAGGCCTAGCTATAAAGGTAGAACAAGATGATGTTATAGTTAAAAGTAAGGAAACATCCCCACGCTGATCGTCCTGTGTTTAATTCTTCTAAAGACTCGTTTATATGGTTTACATGATTTCGCTGACAAAATATAATGTCATAATGTATAATTTACATGCTGTCCGAAAAAGGTGCATTGTGTAATAAAATATATATTTATGGAATGGAATTAAAAATGACACAAACGTTTTTAATCGAACATGCAACAAATTAAACATTTCAATCCACTTTGCCGTGGGCTTAAGAAGTCATCCATATTTCTAGGCCTCGTTACGCTCGGTGAGAATCAAGTTTGCGCCCCTTCCAAATTACTGGACCCGTCTCTACAATTGTGACATACTGGGACTATTGTCTTCTAGCCGGGGGGTTGGATGGCTGAATGGTTAGCACGTGCGCGCTGTATCATAAAGCCTGTCATTGAGTCTACTGGCGTGGTTTCGAATCCCCAGTTGTACGTGACAAGGAGTAGGGTCGCCTGTCCAATCCCGTGCGTTTTCTCCGGGTCCTCCGGTTTCCTCCCACTGCTAAAGACCCCTATACGCGCAAGCGAATTATTGAAATAAAATTAAACCATATATTTTTAGTCCCGAAATGACCTAGTTTGTGTCCCCCATTTCTCTCTTTCTCTCTCTCTGTCTTCTAGCCAGTTGAGTAAAATATAGCAACAATCTGTTTGATCCAGAACCTAACTTAATATACAAAATGTCAAAAACATTGACGCTTGGTTGAAATTGATAAGATCCTTGGCCTTATCAAATACTAACTAGACTACAGGAAAGCCGAGATTAAATTGTCTTTCATTGCACATGTCTATACTTGAGAGTCACTGGTAGCTCAAGACAATAAACAAAACCACGTGATAGGTCATGTGACGGGCACTTGACAACAGCGTCATCATGGCTGACAGATGAAGCTTCAAGAAAAATAAAAACAGAAACCCGTCGTTTAATAAACTGCGAAAATGGACAGTGGTAATATTTAATATTTCTGTTGTTTTATTTTATTTCCGTGTAATCTGTAGATTTAAAAAAAAGTAAAAAAAGCCTTCCACAAGGACATGACACTGCCCTTACTTGACATTGTTGATGCTGATAGTAAAACGACTTTGATTTTCGTCAAAAAAGTAACTCAAAACGTGATTTGGCTTTTTGTTGTTTTTGAGTTTTTGCTTCTGTAAATTATAAATGAGCGATCAATATTTATTCAAAATTGTGTTTCCTCCCAGAATCTAAATGTACTCTGAAATCGTATAACCAACAAAACAAATTAAGGATTGATGTAAGATAGTCTACAAACGGTTCAAACAATTTTTTTAGGCCCGAAAAAAAAGGATGCTGAGTGAAACTCAATTGTACCACTGTGCAGCTAGCACATCCATTGATCATAAAGACTTGAAATTTACAGGCTTAAAAATAAGGCCCCTGTCGGTCTGTCAGGCAGAGAGAGAGAAAGGAGTCTCTAGCAGTGGGAGGAAACTGGAGGACCCGGAGAAAACCCACAAGGTTGGGCAGGTGACCCTACTCCTTGTCACGTACAGCCGGGGAATCGAAACCACACCAGTTGACTCTATGACAAACCTTATGATACAGCGTGCACTTGCTAACCATTCGGTCATCCAACCCCCCAGTCTGTCAGACATTTTTGGGCAAAAATTCAGACTTCAACTTTCAAGGCACAATCACTCACAGGTCTTATTATGTTGTCTCATGTTATGTTATTCCGCAGAACATCCATTTTCATAAATAATGATTGATATTATTTAGATATTTTTAAACGTATATTATGCAAGAGCTAAATCTGCCTATTGCAGGTCTTTCTTTAGGCCTGCATGTTATATAAACTATTAATTACATGTAGACATTAATTAACTTATCCAGGCCATAATCAACTCTTGATGGCATCGCTAGCCTGTGATGTTTACTGGATTACAATCCGATCTGCTACTCAACGCTCATCAATGATTAAATAAAAAAATGGATAATCGAGACTATGTTTTTTATCGTAACGACTTTAGTAATGATGATCGAGGCTATGCTTAAAATTAAATCGCTAAATTCTCAGTTCAGAGTGGATTAATTTGACTGAAATTTTCAGCAAATTCCCTTTAAATTATCTAGTTTTTAACTATTATAGTGAGAACTGCCAGCTCTTTATCTAATCTCCCATATATAATGTATCTTTAATTAGGTATGAATAATTTAGAAGCTTTAGTTGAAGATGAAGATGAGGAGATTGATAACGAAGAAGAGCCAGAAGAAGCAGGAGTTCTTGTAAGTTTTATATTAATACACAGCAGCTTTACTAGTAGTAGTTTCCATCCCTGGGAGTCACCAGAAGTTTTATATTAATACACAGCAGCTTCACTAGTAATAGTTTCCATCCCTGGGAGTCACCAGAAGTTTTATATTAATACACAGCTGCTTTATTAGTAGTAGTTTCCATCCCTGGGAGTCACCAGAAGTTTTATATTAATACACAGCAGCTTCACTAGTAGTAGTTTCCATCCCTTGGAGTCATCAGAAGTTTTATATTAATACACAGCAGCTTCACTAGTAGTAGTTTCCATCCCTGGGAGTCACCAGAAGTTTTATATTAATACACAGCAGCTTCACTAGTAGTAGTTTCCATCCCTGGGAGTCACCAGAAGTTTTATATAAATGCATAGCAGCTTAATTGTTATAGCACTTAGCACTAGTAGTAGTTTCCATCCCTCAGATAGAGAGAGATGGGGTTTAATGTCCACTCGAAACAAACTAGGTCATTTTGGGACTAACATATTGTTCAATTTTATTTCAATAATTCGCTTGCGTGAAGGGGTCTTTAGCAGTGGGAGGAAACCGGAGGACCCAGAGAAAACCAATGAGGTTGAATTGGCGACCCTACTCCTTGTCATGTACAACCAGGGAATCGAAACCACACCAGTAGATTCAATGAAAGACCTTATGATACCGTCTCTACACACAATTGCAACTCATTAATATTCATAAGCTCTTGAATATTCATGTTAACGTCAATACAGATTATTTTTTATTTTTCAGCAAAGTTCAGAAGAATCTGGTAATGAAGATGAAGATGGAAACGTAACGACGAAAGAAGCGAATAAATTTGATATTTTATGCGATGGCGTTGTTGGTTCGATGGCATTGGTCCAGACCAGTGTACAGGAATTACTGGCGTTTAAAGATGAATTAATAAAACATGCTTTACCACCATCAGTTCTTATAAAATTAACAACGGCCTGTGGACGAGTGTTCAGAAGGTTTGTACTTATTGTTGTGTATAATCTGCAGATGAGTGCCAAACTTTTGCCATTGGTGGGGGGTTGGATGGCTTAATGGTTAGCATGTGCGCGTTGTATCATAAAGTCTGTCATTGAGTCAACTGCCGTGGTTTTGATTCCCCGGTTGTACGTGACAAGGAGTAGGGTCGCCTGTCCAACCTCGTGGGTTTTCTCCGGGTCCTCCAGTTTCCTCCCAGTGCTAAAAAAGACCCCAACATGCAAGTGAATTATTGAAATAAAATTAAACCTTATGTTAGTCCCGAAATGACCTAGTTTGTGTCAAGTGGACGTTAACCCCATTTCTCTCTTTCTCTCTCTTTCGCCATTGGTCAATTTTTACTTCTGGAATGATAAATACGATCTTTTATGCATTGTTAAGAATCATGGTAAAATAGTTGATAAATTAGTAAAAACAGTTTAATTCTATATTTCAATTTGATTTATGAATTAAGATAATCGTAGAAATTGTTTATCAATCTGATTAAAACACAGATCCCATTTCGTTTCTTTTTTTATAGTTCAAAATTTCGTTTTACTTGTCTTTACTACACTAGGATCAGGAAGAGTTGCTATATTACCGGCGTTCTGGTTGAAGTGAGGGATTAGCCAATGAAACGATCTGTCACGGCAAGTTTTTAGCATGAGGTGCACGGAACTGTGGGTAAGCCACTAGAAATGTCAACGCTGATTGATTAATCAATGTCTGACGTCATAAGGTCAAAAGCCGTTCGTACAATCCCTTACGCGACCTTCCAGTACAACTGACCAAATCTTCATGTATTGTAGGCCATCGAAAGTATAAAAAAACAAAACAAAATATAGATCTGTATTTTAATCCGATTGGTTGTTTATTTATAGTTTTTATGTGTAAATACAGCATTATGTTTTTGTTTACAGTGTTAGTGATCAGAGTAAACCAATCAATGAATTAGTCCGAATGGTTCATGTTTATTCGACACCTTGGGAGGAGAAGAGTGCAGCATTAAAGAAATTACACGATGATTACGAGAATAAACAACGACAACTGAATATAGCTATTAAACGATTGCAGTTAGTAGATGCACATGTAAGATTATAATACTCTTTACAGTCACAATCAACGCTCTCGTTTCGGTCAACGCTCTTGTTTTGGTATCCAATGAGACGGAAAACCGAGGAACCGTGTATACAGTGGTGTGTACGTAAAAGATCCCTTGGCATTTGGAATTCGATATAAGAGTAGGCCATAGTGCCACTGCCCGGGCAAAACTACCTTCATAGCACACTGTATGGCTTTGGCCCGTCTTCATTAGCCCAGTCGGAGTAGAACATTAAACCCCATTTCATTTGTTTCGATTTCTTCTATTTGCTAAAGACAAATACGCTCAAAAGAGTTTTGAAATAAAATTGTTCCGGCTTGTAAATAATGATTTTGAAAGAGAGAGAGAAAAATAAATGGGGTTTAACATCTACTCGACACAAACTAGGTCATTTTGGGACAAACATGGCTCAATTTTATTTCAATAATTTGCTTACGCGTAGGGATCTGTAGCAGTGGGAGGAAACCTGAGGACCGGGAGAAAACCCACGAGGTTGGACAGGCGACCCTACTCCTTGCCTTATACAACCGGGGAATCAAAGCCACGTCAGATGACTCAATGATACAACGTGCACACGCTAACCATTCGGCCATCTATCCCCCACCCCCTCTAAATGATTTTGAACCTGACATTATTAGTATTATGTCGACAAGTCTGACAAGGCCTGAAGTTGTGTCTGACATTGTCAGTGATGAGCATCTTATTTACAGGCTGGCATATGTTAGTCCCAAAATGACCTAGTTTGTAATCTTTAAGTGGCATTTAGCGATTGGGAAACACATTAACAGAACACAATTTCTATAGGAAACAATCACTAGTTTTTATTCTAAAAGCACGACGTTTGACAAGTGTCCTCTTATTGTTATCTAATTGCTGCTGCCTGGGCAAAATTTTCCCTCATAACACACTGCATGGCGTATGCCCATCTTTATAAGCCCCCTACAGTGCAGAGAAGTAAATTTTAACCTAATTTTATTTAATTTTTTTTAGTCAAAGAGGATAGCTAAAGAGAAGTAAATTTTAACCTAATTTTATTTTGTTTATTTTTTTTAGTCAAAGAGGATAGCTAAAGAGAAGAGAATAATGAACTGGGAGAAAGTTTTTGCGAAGGTCACAAGTAATAAAGGTCATGGAAGAAGATGGAAATTTTTAATAGAAACGATCAAACAAAAAGCTAAAATGGGGTAAGTGTTGTTTTTTTTTAAAATGTCATAATTATGGATAATATGCGAGGAAAATTTAGTTGTCTTTTCTTAGTTGAGTTGGATTAAACAGTATTTATTTCCAACATTTTGAACAATTTAAAATGAAATGAAATAGGGTTTAACGTCCTACTGTTCTGCTCCGAATGCGCTAATGAAGACTGCCTTTAACATCTACAGAACAATTTAAAAACATTTAGAATAGGATAGAAAACATGCTAAAGGAGGCTTATATTAATTTTCTTCATTATCGGTAGGTTGTATAATATAATGTACAGTTTGCTTCATTATCGGTAGGGTGTATGATATGATGTACAATTTCTAGTAATATAGACATTATTATATTTGTGTTTTTACGATTGCTTATTGACTTCACTTTACCATTCACCAAGGAGTCATGGTGGCTCACTGGATTTTTGGGGGTTGATGTCCGAATAGTTAGCGTGTTCGAACTGTATCATAAGGTCTGTCATTGAGTCAACTGGCGTGGTTTTGATTCCCCAGTTGTATGTGACAAGGAGTAGGGTCGCCTGTCCAACCTTGTGGGTTTTCTCCGGGTCCTCCAGTTTCCTCCCACTGCTAAAGAGCCAAGGCGCAAACGAATTATTGAATTAAAATTGAACCATATGTTAGTTCCGAAATGACCTAGTTTGTTTTGAGCGGACGTTAAACCCCATTTCTCTCTCTCTCTCCCCATAGTTTAATTGTTGTGATATTGTGGTATTGATGACTATTCTGTTTATTTAGGTTTGAACATGTACAAGAATATACAAGGTCATTAGAAGAATCATCTGCATCTGAATCCGAGGACGAGGATGAAGATACAATGGTCGCTCAACAATCAAGTCGTGACGTCGATAGCATGGAAGCCAGTAGTCTAGATACCAGTCAGAAACAACAATCAGTATGTAAAACTAGTGGGGGGGGGGGGGGGATGGCCGAATGGTTAGCACGTGCGTGCTGTATCATACAGTCTGTCATTGAGTCAACTGGCGTGGTTTCGAGTCCCCGGTTGTATGTGACAAGGCGTAGGGTCATCTGTCCAACCTCGGTGGTTTTCTCTGGGTTCTCCGGTTTCCTCCCACTGCTAAAAACCCTTACGCGCAAGCGAATTATTGAAATAAAATGGAACCATGTGTTAGTCCTGATATGACCTAGTTTATGTTGAGTGGACTTTAAGCCCCATTTCTCTCTCTCTCATGTAAAACTAGACTTTCTTATCCCATGTTAAAGGGCCATTATGGGAGATTAGATAATGTAAATAGAATATGCTAAAAATGTCAGTCGAATTGCTTCACTCTGAACAGAGATATTACCTTTTGAATTTTAGGCCCAGCCTTGATCATCATTACTAAAGTCGGTACGATAAAAACAAAGTCTTGATTATCCATTTATCGATTTGATTATTTTTCAAAAAATTTATTCCAATCCGCTAAATATCTTAGGCTAGCGATGACATCGAGAGTTGATTATGGTCTGGATAAGTTAATTAATGTCTAGTTAATAATTTAGATAACATTTAAGGCCTAAAGAAAGATGTGTAATAGGCAGGTTTAGATCTTGCATAATGTATGTTTAACAACCCATGATCCGACAGTTGGAATACGATGGAAAGTAGCCAGAAGCCAAAAATGCTCCGTTTCGGCAAAATGTCTCTCCTAGCGTTTTCCCATCCCAGGGGTTTGACATTTCAATATTTTCCTACGCAAGGAACTTCTAGGTTGTGTCTGTAATTAAAAGACAATATATTTGTTGTTACTGAGATAGGCAAAGCAATTGATCTGTTCACATGAATTGTTATATGATGTTTATTTCTTGCAATATCTGTGTAGTTTGTCTTGTCCGTAGGTTTGTCTTGGTGGTTTCGTAGACCCTATAGCTTAATGATTTCTTCTTGTTTATTAGGAATTCTGTATATTATAAATAATATTCTTGTTACCTAGGAAACGGCTGTAGAGACTGAAGTAGATGAAAGTCGAGGAGAAGTGGAATCAGTTCAGTCTAGTGAGCCTGAAGAACCTGTTGTTGCCGAGACAACTGTAGAGCAAGTTGAAGATCTAGTAGAAAGTGTTCAAAGTGTAGAAGAAGTAGAAAGTGGAACCGTTTCTCCCAAGGTATGCATTAAGGCAAATCATAGCAGGGGCTAAGTCAGAGGGACACAGTGGCGCGCTTTGCGTCATGGTTTTGAATTTTTTTGCCCCATTGAGTTTTTGTGCCCTCTTGCAAATGGCAAAAATCCTGCGTTTCAATACAGTTTCCAACATTGTAATCATAATTATAATGCTTAACCAGTGTCAAACTTATACTGTGGGTCAGATATGCTACACTGGGAGGAACCCTCCCCCTTCCCCTGCTCACATATATAACTATTGTTTTTTGGGGGCCTGGACGGCATCTTGTTCCTCGTGTAAAATCATGGATCACCATGCCCCTGAATCAGATTATCTCTATGGAGGCTCAGTGAGTTAGGTGCTGGTTCAATGACCAGGTGGTCCCAGGTTCAATCACTGGTTGTAGAGAAAGTTTTTTAAGGATTTCTCAGCATAGTTTCCCTTTGTCAGTGGTTCCAGGACAGAAGGTCTGTCAAGGAATTAATTCCTTTTAGAAATTTAAATTGCAAAACCTTGTAGCATTGTTTTTAAATCATCGTCAAATCCTTATATGAGACTCATTACCTTAAAGTAAGAAAAATAGATTACCAGATTTCCTTTAATTTTATTTGTATGATTTAATAAATGTGAAATATTATATTAAATTAGAGGGTGAGATTTGGAAGTGAACAAGCACCTGTTATTGTGAAACCACCGACGACGGAGACGGCCGTATGGACGGGAGAACCCGACTATGATGTTTATCTTTATGTGAGAATATTTCAACCACAAGGCCTGGATAGTCACGACTTAAAATGTTCGTTAACGTACGATAATCAGATGTTTAAAACGGGTGTGTTGGATTTACAGGATGAGGTGAGATTTAGATTTGATATTTAGATCTATATAAAAAAAATACTTTAGATGGTCCGTTAAATATGTATGTATGATTTATATACATATATCTGGCTATTCCTGCTATAATAGTTTCGGAAGCTATGGTGGCTAAGTGGGTAAGACGCTGGCTCACTAGCCTGGAGGTCACGTGTTCGATCCCTGCATTGGCCGAAAAAGTTCATAAAGATTTTCCGACAGTGATGCAGGATGAAGGACCTGACAAGGACAGCTCTCTAGTCATTCGGATAGGACAGAAAACAAGGTCCCGTGTATACATTGGAATGCACGTAAAAGGCTCCTTGGCAGTTGGAATTTGATATAAGAGTAGGCCATAGTACGTTGCCCGGGCAAAATTTCCCTCATAGCACACTGTATGGTGTATGCCTGTCTTCATTAGCCCAGTTCGGAGCAAAACAGTAGGACATTAAACCCCATTTCATTTCTTTTCAGTGCTATAATAGTTTGATAATAAAATAGAAATATATAGAAAATTTCAGTCAAATTACTTTATTCTGAGTGAAGTTATCACAGTTTTGGGGGAGGATAAGATCGTTATGTTGGTAGGGCAGGGCGGCGGTGGAGAGGGTGGGGAGGAAATATTTTTGTGTTGTGATCTATTATTTTATATTTTTACAGGTAGTAGAAGATTTACCTGTTAGTCCAACTAGACCACCAGCTGCAGGTCGACATCAAGGTAGGCATATTTATCTATATCTTTCTATCCCCTGGAGCCACGGTGGCTAAGTGGGTTCGACGCTGGATCGCTAGTCTAAAGGTCATGTGTTTGATCCCTGCATTGGTCAAGAAAGTTCGTCAGGAATTTCCAGCATGGTTTCTCCTTGTCAGTTGTGCAGGACGGAGGTCCTGATAATGACAGCTGTCTAGTCGTTCGGATGGGACAAAAAAAACCCCAAGGACCTGTGTATACATTGGCGTGCTCGTAAAAGATCCCCATAGTGCCGCTGCTTGGGCAAAATTGTTTCCCTCATAGCATACTGTATGGCATATGTCCGTCTGCATTAGCCCTGTCGTAGCAGAACAGTATGACGTTAAACCCCATTTCATTCTATTTCATTTCTCTACCCCCTTCTCCTCCACCAACTAGACCACCAGCCGCAGGTAGACAACAAGGTAGATATTCGAACAACTGAACTTTTCCTTTCCGGCCCCTCCATCCTGCATCACTGACAAATGGAAACCAGGTCTATGATATTTGTGTTTTTTCATTCTATTTTTATGAATTTGTTGTATTTATTTTAGCCGACAGATCACCGCTAGTAGAAGATCCACCACCTAAAAATCATGGAAAGTAAGACTATATTATTGTTCTTTTTCTCTAATGAAGAGGTGGGGGGGCCAAATGGTTAGCCTGTGCGTGCTGCATCATAAGGTCTGTCATCTAGTCAACTGGTGTGGTTTCTATCTCCCGGTTGTACATGACAAGGAATAGGGTCGTCTGTCCAACCTCGTAGGTTTTCTCTGGGTCCTCCGGTTTCCTCCCTCGGGACTAACATACAGTTTTAATTTTATTTCAATCAGTCGCTTGCATGTAGGAGTTTTTAGCAGTGGGAGGAAACCGAAGTTAGACAGGGAATCGAAATCACACCACTTGATTCATTGATTGACCTTATGATGAAACGTGCCTCCCAACCCCCTTGAAAAAATTATATAATTGTCATCTGTTTTTTACATTAAGTTTTGTAGCTCACAGAACTATTATACAGCCAATCTGTAGCTCACAGAACTATTATACAGCTCATCTGGAGCTCACAGAACTTTCGAAAGGCTCGCAGAACTATTGTACAGCCCATCGAAAGGCTCACAGATTTATTGTACAACCCTTCGAAAGGTTCACAGCTATTCGATGAGACTCTGGTGGTTGGTGTTACTCGATGGAGGTTGTCGAGGTGCCAAGGGATATAAATCCTAATGATTCGCTGATATTTTGATAGTTGTATTTTACTTAAAAAAATATCATTATATAATGGTTCGATGCCAAACTGATTACCTATCTATATTTCACTGTAACTTTGTATTTTCTATAAAACAAAGTAACATATTTCCTGATTCAGATACGAAGAATTCACAGTCAGTTTGGACGTTGATGATATGAAATCTACCAAAGATGGAACAAGTTCAAAACCTAAACATATCCAGTTTGCTATTCAACATGGACAATTTGAAGAAATTATTGCCATGGCAACAGTAGATGTAACAGATTTACAACAATTGGTGAGTTCAGATTATTTCAGATTATTTACAACTTTAATATCGTCCCACATGGTGCACCACATGTTCCTGAAGCAACGACTGCGAGTTTTACAATATCTAGACGCTGCTACACTGGTCTACAATTCTCGAACTTATATCTTCTTTAACACAGACACGTGAACGATAGCGTCCAATCAGAGGTTGTAACACAAACACACTAAAATCAAACATGGGGTCCTCCACGGAAATCTTGACTTTGAACGAACCTTGAGCTTTGCAACTCGATTATCACAGATTAGAAATATTAGCTGGAAAGTGCGAGACTTGGTATTCGCGTTGATCGAGGAATCTGATAGGCTCCCTAGCTGGATCAGTATCCAATCAAAATTAGTGCAGAAATATGCAGAGTATTACATGAAGGGCTTGATAAGATGTACATAGTTAAAGCGAGATCAAGACTTCTATTGAAGATGGGTGCACCGTTACTTGTTATAGCTTCAGATGTACACAAGTTCGAATTAAGAGCGGGGCTGTATGGGCTGCAGTCTGTTGACCCACAAATTAGTTCTAAAGACAAGTTTTTGTACCATAAATAAATTTGTTGTTTGGGAGGGTTGGATGGCCAAATGGTTAGCACGTGTGTGTTGTATCATAAGGCCTGTCGTTGAATCAACTGGCGTGGTTTCTAATCCCCAATTGTACGTGACAAGGAGTAGGGTTTCCTGTCTAACCTCGTGTTGTCTCTGGGTCCTCCGGTTTCCTCCCACCGCTAAAGACCCCTACATGCAAGCAATTATTGAAATAAAATTAAACCATGTGTTAGTCCCGAAATGACCTAGTCTGTGTCAAGTGGATATAAAACCCCATTTCTCTCTCTCTCCCTATACTTGATTCTTGGGGAATATGAGCAACGAGTTGGTCTTGGGTATCAACAAACCTCTGTATGTCACTGGATAAACAACCCAACTATACTATTCAAAAAAAGTAGGGGATATTTGATTTTTAAGTGTTATTAAAGTCACTTAATGAAACTGACAAAGAAACAAATGACAAAATGAAATGAAGTTCACATTCATCGATTTATTCCAAATGATCGTTAGACTAAGTAAGGCACAGACTGACCATTATAAGGGTAAAATGATACCCGGGGTCAAACAGCAAAGTTACCACAGCATCACAACCAAGTCAGTAACGGGTAAATCCTCCTCTGTTTGCCAAACAAGCATTGATCCGACGTGGCATACTCCTAATGAGACGTCTAAGGTCATTTTGGTCCAGATTGTCCCATTCCTGTTGCAACGCAGCAGCAAGTTCTTGGACATTGGCAGGACGTTGTTGACGTTGACGTAACCTCTGTCCAAGCATGTCCCAGACATGCTCGATGGGGGAGAGGTCGGGACTCAGTGCTGGCCAAGGTAATGTGGTGATGTTCTGTTGTTGGAGGTAACCTGTAACGATCCTGGCCCTGTGACATCTTGCGTTGTCATCCTGGAAGATGAAACGGCGGCCATGACGTCGTGCGAACGGCACAACATGGACTGCCAAGATGTTGTCCCGGTAGTACTGGCCTGTAACACGCCCTGCAACAACATGTAAAGCCGTTCTTCCAGCAACAGTGATGCCTCCCCACACCATAACAGAACCACCCCCAAATCGATCATGTCTGATGACGTTAACGTCTTGGAAGCGCTCGTTTCGACGACGCCACACCCTCCTACGTCTGTCCAAAAAATCAACAGTGAACCTTGACTCATCTGAAAACATCACATTGCTCCAGCGTCGATTATCCCAGTGTTGACGATCCCTACACCAACGACGTCTTGCCTGAATGTGATGATCTCTCAAACAAGGGATCACGCGAGGACGTCGGGCGCGAAGGTGACCCCTATGCAGTCGATTCCGAATCGTCTGGCCACTCACTCTCACACCAGTGTCTGTTTGAAGACGAGCGCTGATCTGATTTGCTGTGATGACACGATTTCTCAAGGCCAAGGTACGGATAAATCGATCCTGGGCTTGAGTTGTCGCCCTTGGTCGACCTGAGCGTGGTCTGTCCTGTACAGATTGTGTATCACGGTATCTGGACCATAGCCTGCTTATGACAGACTGAGAAACATTCATCGTCCGCGCCACAACCGCCTGTGTTGTGCCGATCTGTAGCATGCCAAGGGCACGTAACCTTTCATTTTGGGTAAGCCGACGCATATCAAAATTTGTTTTCTGGTCACTAAAACAATTAAACTGATGTTTCCACCCTGGAATATAATGCCACAATGACTGTAACATTCAAAGTCAGAGTCGTGCAAATCTTGGGTTGGACCCCCATGATGATCCCAAGCATCACATGCATTCCATGCGGTAGCTATTGGTGCGTTTGGGCGTCAAATGTAACTGGAAATGTTTCTTCTGTTAGGTTCTATAGTGACTTTTTTCGTAGTCATTTGCATATTTTAGTATTATGCCCCCAAAATCAAATATCCCCTACTTTTTTTGAATAGTATATATGCTTTATCATGACAACTGAAGTAACTCATTATTATTCATATATACAAAGATCATGAATATTCATAATGACTGATCTGGCATGAATTTATTTTATTTTATTTCTGACATCAGGGCTTACAGACAGTTTATCTACCAGCACCGAGAGGTGATGATGTCATTTTACGAACAGATGATGACCAAGACTCGATAGACTCTCTCTCGGATTCCATGGATATATCAATAAATGATGCTGCCTCAGAAAAAAGCCTCGCTATTAAAGATGAAGTGTTGAAGAACGTCGATCCGATTCCGTTTCCTCTGTTTTCACTGAAACCCGGTCGGGGTAGTACAGGGCCAGCAGGATCTCTACCTGTTATATTTTATTGGGGTAAAAGACCAAGGCCGCAATATTTCAACAGACAATCAGGTGCATATTAATTACTCTTTCATGTTTTGTGTCATTACACACATGGGAGGTTGGATGGCCGAATGGTTAGCACGTGCGCGCTGTAGGCCTATCATAAGGCCTGTCATTGAGTCAACTGGTGTGGTTTCGAATCCCCGGTTGTACGTGACAGGGAGTAGGGTTTCCTGTCCAACCTCATGGGTTTTCTCCGGGTCCTCCAGTTTCCTGCCACTGCTAACGACCCTACGCACAAGCGAATTATTGAAATAAAATTTTTAAAAAACATATGTTAGTCCCAAAATGACCTAGTTTGTGTCGAGTGGATGTTAAACCCCATCTCTTTATCTCTCTCATTTCACAAACAGAGAACTATTTACTTTGTCAGTGATGCAGGACGGAGGGCCTGACAAGGACAGCTGTCTAATCATTCGGATGGGACAAAAAAACGAGGTCCTGTGTATACATTGGCATGCACGTAAAAGATCCCTTGGCAGTTGGAAGTCGATATAAGATTAGGCCATAGTGCCGCTGCCCGAGCAAAATTTCCCTCATAGAACACTGTATGGCTGTCTTCATTAGCCCAGTTGGAGCAGAACAGTAGGACGTTAAGCTCCATTTCATTTCAATTCGTTTGTGGATTCTCTCCCTTGAGATCAGCAAATTGATGAAACAGTTATTCTCAAATTTTATTTGGGAGGCGTAACGGGGGTAATGCTGCGTTTACATCTCCCCCCCCCACCCGTCCCAAAGTTTAATATCTTTATATCAGAGACACTTTGTTTCTTTAACTGGTTTTCATATTATTTATGTTTTAGGTACCTTGGGACTGAGTGATCTAGTCTATGATTTGACGGGAATAGATTTACGAACTACAACAAAGGAAGATTTACATAAAGAAGCTCGTGATAGAGCAAGTTCAGCGATACAGTTTACTCCCGAACCCAGAGAGGTAACAATCCCACAATTCTCACTGTTATTCGAGTTGATCAAATTTGATTGTTCAGGTCAGGACATGAGGTTAATTCATTCATCTTGTTCAACACTTGCACTTTAGATCATAAGGTCTGTCATTAAGTCAGGTAGTCAAGTAATCTAACACCTACACTTTAACACCTGTCATTAAGTCTTGGGGTTAGAGGGGGTCAAGTGGTGTAACATAACATATATGCTTAAGTATGTGACAAAGAGAAAGGTCGCCTGTCAAACTACATGGGTTGTCTTCCACTGCTGAAAGATTCCTACATGTTAATACAAATCATTCTAATTAAAACACAGATCCTATTTCGTTTTGTTTTTTATAGTTCAAATTTTCATTTTACTTGTCTTTACTACACTTGGATCTGAAAGAGTTGTTATATAATCCGTGTTCGTGAGGGATTAGCCAATGGAATGGCCTGTTACAGCACGTTTTTGGCGTGAGGTGCTCGGAACTGTGGGTAACCCACTAGAAACAGCAACACTGATTGGTTAATCAAATGTCTACCATCATAGGGTCAAAAGCCGTTCATATGACCTCTGATGTGACCTTCCACTACAACTGGTCAGATCTTTATGTAGTATAGGCCATCGAAAGTATAAATAAACGAAAAAAAAATTGGATCTGTATTTTATTCAGATTGGATAGAAATTGATAAATAATGATATGCAATGATCTGTATAGACAAAAGATGTCTTGATTGAAATTTGACAGTGCGTACCGATCTGTCATCCATTAACAAGATTATATAATGAAAAACCACATTCCCCATATCTCTAATCTACCTTCTTTTCAAGTTAGAGGGGTTGGATGACCAAATGGTTAGCACGTGTGCATTGTATCATATGGTCTGTCATTGAGTCAACTGACATGGTTTCTATTCCCCAGTAAGGTGAAACAAGGAATGGGGTCGTCTGTCCAACCTCGTCAGTTGTATGTGACAAGGTGGAGGGTCGCCTCGTTTGTTTTCTCCGGGTCCTCCGGTTTCCTCCCACTGCTAAAGACCCATACGTGCAAGCGAAGTATTGAAATAAAATTGAACCATGTGTTAGCTCTGAAATTACCTAGTTAGTGGACTTAAACCCTCTCTCTCTCTCTCTCTCTCTCTCTCTCTCTCTCTCTCTCTCTCTCTCTCTCTCTCTCTCTCTCTTTTCAAGTTAGAATTTTAAGTTAGAAACAAAACAAAATATGAGAAAACATTAAGAACTAGTTAATTTGGATGAATCTACTATCAGGAATGTGATACCATGATATTTTATAAATATATTTTATATTTCAGGAAACGGTTCTAAAATGTGAATTTGATGCAATACAGATAAAACATGAACATGAAATCGAAACTCTACAAAATAAATACGAGTAAGGGAAATAACTCTGATGATATAATATTATTTGTGAACTTTGTAAATAAATATTCCAGAAAGCATACACTGCACTGGGCATGATGAGATGAGGCGACGTTAAACCCATTCCAGTAAATTCCAGGGCCATGGTTTGTATGTGGTTAGGCATCTTGACCAGAATGTTTCAGGGACATGGTTGGCATGTGGTTAGGCATCTTGACCAGAATGTTCCAGGAATACGGTTGACATGTAGTTAGGTATCTTGACCAGAATGTTTCAGGGACATGGTTGCCGTGTGGTTAGGCATCTCAACCAGAATGTTCCATGAAAATGGTTGACATGTAGTTAGGCATCTCAGACAGAATGTTCCAGGGACACAGTTTGCCATGTGGTTAGGCATCTTGACCAGAATGTTCCAGGTTGGGATCATAGTGTGGGCTGAGTAGAATCTTCAACATTTTTCGGACTCTGTTAAAATGCGACTTTTAGTTCGGATAGGAGGACAAGCCTGTGATCCAAACATGTACACATAAAACAATCTTTAAAACTTGGAATTCTCCCCCAAGCATGCTGCATATAACATTGGGAGATGCTAATTGTAGGCCGGTTGGGGAGGTTCGGGCGTTTCTCGGAGTCCAAAGTAGCTGCTTTGAATAAATGAGAATTTTTGGGAATGCTAACCCTAACCCTAAATATATTTTTCAGAACAAGACTACAGGAATTAATGGACAATTTACAATCCATGGTGGAACAACAGAAACAACAAAAAGTTAAATCAGCATCTCCTCGTCCAGCATCAGTAGCTAGTAATAGAAGTACCGGATCAGTCAAGTCTAGCCGATCTGTTAAGTCACGATCCCAACCATCACGTGCCACTCCTACTGTCTCTAGTCCCGTTAAACCAGCTACACCAGTTGAGGTTGCTATGGCACCAGTCACTCCACCTGTTGTTAAATCGGTACCAAGTTTACCATCAAAACCAAAAACTGTCAGGTTAGACAATTCAATTACTTCTTTGGAATTTGAGAGGGTTGGATGGCTGAATAGTTAGTGCGTACGCGTTGTATCATAAGGTCTGTCATTGAGTCAACTGGCGTGTTTCCATTAGAGTCTCCTGTCCAACCTCATGGACTTTCCCTGGGTCTTCCGGTTTCCTCCCACTGCTAAAGAAACCTACTCTCACATATTTAAAAGTTAAATGTTGATAGAACTCGGGTATTTGTTTATCAAGACAACCAAAGAACGAAAATTATTTTCATTTGGTCTAATGTTTATGTTCATATTAAAGAATTGAATATTTTGGATGTGACTATATTTCAGAGCACTACCTCTCCCAACACGTGTGAATAAAAACTTTAAAGTTGGTAAACCATTACCTAAATGGGGTGAAAATCTCCCACAAGATGTAAGTATTGACCGATATTATATCAACATTACTTTTTATCTTTTATTTGTTTCTACATTTGGGGGGTTGGACGGCCGAATGGTTAGCATGTGCGCGCTTTATCATAAGGCCTGTCATTGAGTCAACTGGCGTGGTTTCGAATCCCTGGTGGTACGTGACAAGGAGTAGGGTCGCCTGTCCAACCTCGTGGGTTTTCTCCGGGTTCTCCGGTTTCCTCCCACTGCTAAAGACCCCTACGCGCAATCGAATTATTGAAATAAAATTAAACCATATGTTAGTCCTGAAATGACCTACTAGTTTGTGTTGAGTGGACGTTAAACCCCATCTCTCTCTCTCTCTCTCTCTCTCTCTCTCTCTCTCTCTCTCGTTTATACATTTCATATTGGTATAACTGTAACCTGGATATCATTTAATCTTGTGTATCTAGCACTAATTTCTTTCACTTTCATTTAATATCATATCTTTGTTTTAAAAATTCATAAAAATTATTTAAAATCACCATAAATCATCTAATTTGTACTTGTGTTCAGTTTAAAGCTGACCATTCAATTTTGATAATGAGTGTCCAATTTACAAGAGTTTAATTTCTCTATCCATTGTTTTTCTCTCTCTCTATCAACAAACGTTATTTTGGTCGCCAACTGATTTCAGAATTTTGTTCCAGTATATAGAAAATTGAGGTGTGAGTGTTTTTATTAGAGAAATGTTTTGTCTGTTTTAGTTTTTTGAGAGATTAAAATTATTTGAGGAGGAGAGTAAAATACGGAAACAAGAATTAAACGAGAAAACACTAGAAGAAATAAAATCAAGTTTAGAACAGAAACTGGCCGGTCAACATAAACTGAGTCAACGCGAGGAAGCAATGTACGATGCTTTAAAAGGTATGTTTATGGGGATGGTTGATTGTCAGTCCGGAATGTCCACAACTAAGACAATTACAATCGAGTGTCGAAGTTCTGTCAGTGGGTGGTGTGAGTAGAATTGTGACGTTTCAGCTGTCATGGTTGGTTGAAATATTTTCTCATACAGTCCAGTCGACGCATGCGTTCTAGCCCCAAATCCCCATTTTCACTCGATTGTCATTAATTTGGGGTTTGACACAATTCAATTCCGGGTGTTGGCGTACCATTACTTCAAATATGTGCCAAGTGTACATTATTTATACTAGTTGAAATTTTGGACGTGCGTGATGTATTTCATTGCAAAGCACGTTCGGGGTGTCTGAATTTTAAGTTGTTTAATAGTCTCGAGCTAAAGACATTGCATAATATATTGAAACAACACAAGGGACACTTGAAATACAGATTTGACGTCATCCTTTGATTTTGGCGTACCATTATTTTTCACATAATGGTATGGGCAATGTGCCATGCATACATTATTTATACTAGTTGACATATTTCATTATAATGCACATTCTGGATAGTGTCTGTATTTTAATTGTTTAATGGTCTTGTGCAAGACATTGCGTAATATATAGATATAGTCCTCGGGCTAACGCACTCGTACAATATCAATATATTACTTAATGTCTCGCACTCGACCATTAGCAGAACAGTAGAACGTTAAACCCCATTTCATTTCATTTCATTACTCGACCATTAAACGACACTTATTGTTTGCTGATATTTATTTATTATTATTTTATATCAGATGTGAGTTTACCAGCATTATTTATGCCGTATAAAACAGGGAATGTTTATAATCCACGAGCTCATCAATATTTTCATCCTACAGGTTAGTTTTATTTATTATCCCCGCCCCCAACTAAAATATTTTAAAAATTTGACCAGGGTGATGATCGAAATATGTGCAATCATTATATGTATATATATTGTCTTGTTATGTTTTATATTTTCTCATTGCTTGATAATGACTAGAGAAGCCTCGTTCAGTAATAAGCAGTAATAATATTCCATAGAATTGTCACCTGTATACACTTTAGTTATTCCACTGAAAGTCTTTTGAACATAAGAGATTATTATCAAACAAGAATCTTCAAGACTAATATTCAAATCCTTTGAAAAGAGAGAGTTGGGTTGCCGAATGTTTAGTGCGTGTTCGATCCCTGCATTGGTCGAGAAGGTTCATCATGATTTTTCCGACAGCTGTCTAGTCATTCGGAGGAGACAAAAAAAAACTAGGTCCCATGTATACATTGACATGCACTTAAAAGACCTCTTGGCAGCTGGAATTCAATATAAGACTAGGCCATAGTGCCGCTGCCCAGGCCAAATTTTCCTCATAACACACTGTATGGCGTATGTCCGTCTTCATTAGCCCAGTCGGAGCAGAACAGTAGGAAATTAAACCCCATTTCATTATTTGAACATATTAACACAAGGTACAATTTTTTAGATACACAATTACTGAGTTTAATACTAAGCAACGTTTCGACGAGGATATTCTCGTCTTTATCAAGCAAATGTATTTCAGTTAGTGTTCGCTGTGAGTCCCTAAATACCATTCTAGATACAAGTCTATGTCTAATGTTGATATATTTAATTGTATTCCAGGTTCGACTGATCTACGTTTAACACAACCTCCATCCGTATTTCAACTTCCTCCATTAAAATCAGGAGATGTATCCTTTATTATAATTCTGGTTTTCGATTCCCCAGTCGTTGTGCCAAGGAGTAGAGTCGCCTCTCCAACCTTGCGGGTTTTTCTCCGGGTCCTCCGGTTTTCTCCCACTACTTAAGACCTGATGTGCAAGTGAATTATTGAGATAAAATTGAACCATATGTTACTCCCGAAATGACCTGGTTTGTGTCGAGTGGATTTTATTACTAATTAGGATTCAGTTTACCAGACAAAATAGGTGGGTCATTGAGTTAAGTATGAGCACCGCAACGAATTAAATCCTGGGATCGATTCTGGTGAATGTACACAGAATGTTCGAGCATGGTTTCCCTTTGTCAGTGTTACAGACCCGTGAGCCTGACGAGGAATGGCATCTTAGTCATTCAGAATGGATGAAAAACCGATGTCACATGTACACTGTGTTGTGCACATAAAAAAAACTTATGACAATTTTAACTTTGAATTCAAAATAAAAATAGGCCATGGCGCTGCAATCCCTGTAGCCCAGTAGCTGAATGAATATAAGGTACTGGGTCCCTAGTTTAATCCTAGTGTTGTTTCGAGAAAGTTCCTTATTTTCCCCTATCAGTGATGGGAACAGCCAATCTGTTCAAAACACAGATCCTATTTCGTTTTGTTTTTTATAGTTCAAAATTTCGTTTTACTTGTCTTTACTACACTAGGATCTGGAAGTGTTGTTATATAAGCCACGTTGCAGCGAGTTAGAAACATCAACACTGATTGGTTAATCAAATATCTGGGGTCATAGGGTCAAAAGCCAATCGTATGACCACTGATGCGACCTCCCACTACAAGTGGTCAGATCTTCATGTAGTGTAGGCCATCGAAAATATAAAAAACGAAACGAAATATAGATATGTATTTTGATCAGATTGGTGTATAGAAAAGTTGGAGGTTAAACCCCATTTCATTTCATTTATTAATCTTAACTTTTTGCTAGAAAATGTCTGTATTAAATCTGTTTGATTTGAGTAAAAATTTTAATAAACCAGCTGAATCATGGTTAATGGATCGTTATATACAGCAACAACATCCCGTCCAACAGCCAGGCTTTCCGCGATCTTCAGAACGAACTTTATCGGGTTTTAATCGCTCCACCCAGAATACACCAAGAACCAATCAAATTGTTGATTCCAAGTGCAGTAACTCGATTATAGAACGTCAACCACCAGATGGAGCTAGGCAAGATCAAGAAGTTGAAGCGTGATCAATCATAAGACATTAATTAATTTATAATTTCCGCATAATTGAAAAACTATTTATGTTGCTGTTTTTGAAGGCAAACAAGATCCAGAACGCGAAAGCCTGATCTTTTTTAAGATATATTAATTAATTTATATTTTTCCGGAATAATTAAAAAACACAAAACGTCTCAGTGGCTGTTTCTGTCTGATGTAGGTGTAGGCCAGAGTCTATGATACATGTATATCAAGGTGGGGTGGGGGGGGGGATAGTCAGAATTTCTCAAGTTACATTGTATTGAGTTGTGTAAAATGTTTGTCTAAACATATGTGGTGTGAGTAGATTTGTGATAAAATTAAATGTATCAGCTGATTGGTTGAGATGGTATCATATCCAGGTGGCGCATTAATCAGCTGTTCCGTAGTCTCAATCTTAACTCAGACCACTCTAAAACCTCTGTGATTACATGCTCTACATGTGTTAATCTGGTGTTTCATTGTCTCAGAATTAACTCAGACCACTCTAAAACCTCTGTGATTACATGTCCTACATTTGTTAATCAGGTGTTCCATAGTCTCAATCTAAACTTACACCACTCTAAAACCTCTGTGGTTACATGTCCCACATATGTTAATCTCGTGTTCCATTGTCTCGGACTTAACTTAGTCCACTCTAAAACCTCTGTGGTTACATGTCCTACATGTGTTAATCTGGTGTTCCATAGTCACAGACTTAACTCAGACATCCTTCAAAGAATTGTATTTAGTGTAATTAATTAATTAATATTTAAAGATATATCATGTATTTGATTGATTCCACTGACATCTGATTACAGAAGTGATTAGACTCAGTGACATCACATGTGACTGTTGCATGTTTGCATTACTTGTCAAGTTTTGTGATAATTTACGACAAATACATATTTTCATTTGCCAAATTATTAACAGCATTAAAACATTACTTTAGCTTATATTTTGATATATTTATGAGAAGTCAGATATTCCTGTATTTTGATATTATTATACTGTATGTGTGTACCAGAGTTTTCATCAGTCGGTAGGGAAAGATATTTATTTTAAAGAATATAACAATCCTTAGCATTATCCCAATTTTTTTAAATATTTTTTTTAAGGTTAACTCAATGCTTTTAAGTAAATTATAACCGACAAATGTGTCCAAATTTTTAGTTTTTGTGAAGTTTAAAGGGCCAGTCCCGATAATATTTTGGAGAATAAAACTGCTTAATTTTGTCTTAAAATCCCTTAAAATCCTCTACCTTAGGACCGAGCAACTAACTTAATATATGTGATACGTTTTCAAACAACTTAAACCTGTCTGGAAATGGAGACTGGTGTCCTAAGCTGTATTATGCGGTGTCTGGATAAAACAAGACCTTTATTTTATAAAAATAATGTGTCGGTGACATTTACCTTTCACTATCATGTATAACACATGGGTCATTCACTGTATAAACCTCAAAAGGGATGGGAATCGATTATCAGGTCACCCAACGAAAAAATTGACCCAAACTCATAAAAGGGTTACGTGTCCGGATAAGCAGTTGTGACGTTCACGTCCAAATGACTCAATATTTTGCGCTGAAATTTTGAGACGGGGTAAATACACCATTCCTCTATATTTTGGCGTTTAAATTCCATATGTACTCGGGCTAGTCCCTTTAAAGTATTTCTCTCCATTCATTCTGTAAACTCTTGTGAACAAATCATCCATAAAACAGCTAGATCTATTTGTTAAGGCCAACTCAATTTTCATCAAGGTCGCTGAGATGTATATAAGGTTAGGGCACATGATTGTTGGTGAGACTGTGGGTTAGGGTTAGGGTAAGTGCTAGATCCAGAGTTAGGGTTGGGATTAGTGCTAGCCCTGTTTACATCTCATGACCTTTGACCAAACTTGAAGTTGGCCTTATCAGATAGACCTAACTCCATAAAACAAGGACCTCAGCCTACGACCTTGACCCTTCCTTTTATATCGGATTTCTTATCTCTGATATTACATCTTCCAGCGTAACCTTTGAGTCATGATTTAGTACACTCGAGCCAATCTGGATGCTCCCCCATTAACTTACAATACATAACTTTAGTTGTCTCCCATTAATTTACAATACATAACTCTGTGATTTAGTTGTCTCCCGTTAACTTCTGTGATTTAGTTGTGATGGTCAAAGCTTGTTTTCTGTAAACTGTTGTAAAATACTTCGTAATCCATTGTAAATTTATTGATAACTGTAGATTGTTACTTATTCTTAATGAGCTGTGATATTTCTATTTATTTTTTTTGATAAATAAATTTATTGTGACGGTAGTGGTTTTTGTAGGTTAGTTTTGACTTCTTGTTAATGTATATGATCTGATTAAAACACAGATCCTATTTCGTTTTGTTTTTTATAGTTCAAAATTTCGGTTTTATTTGTCTGTACTGGAAAATTTGTTATATAACCTGTGTTCTGGATAGCGTGAGGGATAAGCGAATGAAACCATCTGTTACGCCGACTTCTTGGCGTACGATGCATGGAACTGTGGGTAAACCACTAGAAACGTCAACGCTGATTGATTAATCAATGTTTAGTGTCATAGGGTAAAATTTCACTCGTAGCACACTGTATGGCGTATATATATACGTGTATAATTGGAATGCACGTAAAAGATCCCCTGGCAGTTGGAATTCGATAAGAGTAGGCGATAGTGCCGCTGCCCCGGCAAAATTTCCCTCATAGCACACTGGCGTATGCCCGTCTTCATTAGCCCAGTTTGGAGCAAAACTTCTCAAAACATTGTATTCGTGTGGGAATACCCCTGCTATAAAAAACCTGTTAGAAGAGGTCATGTTTGTGTCAGGTGACTTGGCGGACGCAGTGCCTAGCAGGAGGAGAATTCATTACATATAAATATTGACTTTAATCACTGATTATTTATTAAAAATATCGAAGCCTAATTAAAATCTGGATTATCCACTACACACGCCATTTATCCTGGTTTTTGTCTCGGAAAATGTACATATACATCACATCTAGCGCTCACTAACGCTGAAAGATCAGACAATCTCCGTGTGCAAACTTTGACAAGGGGGAACCACGCCGGAAAATCTGGATGAACTTTCTCGGCCAATGCAGGGATCGAACACCCGACCTCCAGGCTAGCAAACCAGCGTCTTACCCACCGTGACGTATTTTAAGTAACAAATATGTTTCAGCTGTCATGATTGGTTGAGATATTTTTTTATGCATTCGGCACATGCATTGTACTCCGAAATTCTCTCTTTCATTTGATTGACACTATTTTTGAAATTGAGATAATTTAATTCCGGACCTAGTGAACGCGAGAGAGAGAGAGATATAGGGTTTAACGTCCACTCGACACAAACTAGGTCATTTCGGGACTAACATGGTTTAATTTTATTTTAATAATTCGCTTGTGAGTAGGGATTTAGCAGTGGGAGGAAACCAGAGGACCCGGAGAAAACCCACGAGGTTGGACAGGCCACCCTACTCCTTGTCACGTTCAACCGGGGATTCGAAACCACGCCAGTCGACTCAATGACAGACTTTATGATACAATGCGCACACGCTAACCATTCAGCCATCCACCCCCCCGTAGTGAACGCAATAAACCTTTTATTCCTTATGCCCTCTTTTCTGAAAACCGCCTGAACTCAGTGAGTAAAACGTTGACTGTTCACCAACCACGAGGTCCTGTGTTCGATCCTGAGGTTGGCCGAGAACTGGCAAGGGACAACATCTAGTCATTTGGATGGGACAAAAAAACAAATGTCCTGTGTACACAATGGCTTGCATATAAAAGAACCCTTGACAGTTGGAATTTGATATAAGAGTAAGCCGTAACGCAACTGTCCGGGCAAAATCTCCATTGATGTACACTGTATGGCGTAAGATCATCTTCATTAGCCTGGATGGAGCACCAAAAAAGAATTTTCCGAAACTGTTGTGAACGTGATAGCGGCTACGTTTTTTTAACAGAATTTGTTTAAAATTTGATTTGAAGCATCGGGGTCATGAGAGGACGAACCCTATCGATTTTCAATGCTCATGTGGGCGTATAAAGATAGGCAGCCAGACAATCAAACATACACCCACAGCAGCTAAGTTGTCCTAGCCATCAACAAGGGGTCACATAAAAAAGGGGAACGCTAGATCGGAGACCGAGAGAGAGGGGTCTTTAGCAGTGGTAGGAAACTGGAGGACCCGGAGAAAACCCACAAGGTTGGACAAGCAACCCTACTCCTTGTCACATACAACTGGGGAATCGAAACCATGCCAGACCTTATGATACAGCGTGTACATGCTAACCATTCTGCCATCCAACCCCCCACCTGAACATATGACAACATAAGTGGATTGTGCGTTAGGGTATGGGTTAGACTTGCACCAGGGTTAGGGTTAGTGTTAGCCCTGTTTATAGCTCGAGACGGTAACGAAATCTGCAGGTCCTAACTCTTACCCTAACCCTAACCCACAAATGACGTCATATGTGCTAAAATGTGCAGGACCGTCTCCCGCCGATCTAGCGTGCTCGAATAAAAAATGACGACAATCTTAAGTGCAAATTTGTTTATTGATTTATTTTTGTTTATATAAAACTACCTTGACTTGTTGTTATACCAGGTATAGATTGATAAACTTAAAAACCCAGAAACACGACGAATACTTATCAAAAAACACAGAAACATCATCATAATAAATATACACATATACATCAACCAACCGCTGCTCATGTCACATCAAAATATTATATATATATATATATATATATAGTATGTATAGTACGCGCTAACAAAATCATTGCAAATACATACTCAATATTTCAATTTATTCACAAAAATTCAAAACTAAACTAAGAAAATATTTTTAAAAAAAAGAAGTAAAAAAACCCTAATGATTTTATTCATAGAAATTAAGATCGACTTTTGGTATTTGAGAGAATAGGAAATATAGAATTTCTTAATAGAATATGGATACAAGTTAATTGGATAACTTTTGACACAAGGTTTGCTCGAGAGAGAAAGACACAAGAAACCTAGTCCAAAATGTGAGATAGAAATAAACTTGTATTGTCAAATAACTGGGTTCCATGTGTGTCAAGTAACAAGTTAAACTAGTCTTAATGTCTCGAGATGAATTGATATAAACTTTGTCTTGTTTTCAAATCCATTATAAATCAGTATTGTGGTATTGCTTAAACTGACTGTTAACCCCTTTTAATGGTTTAATGGATGAGTGCGAGCCATTAAGTATTATATTTTAATATTCTGCGAGTGCTGTAGCATGAGGGCTATATCTATAATATATTACACAATGTCTTGCACAAGACCATTAAACAACTTAAAATACAGACACTTTCCAGCATGTGCATTTCAATGAAATACGTCACGCGGGTCCAATATTTCAAATAGTATAAATAATGTACACTTGGCACATTGCCTGTACCATTATTTGAAATAATAGTATGGAAACATCGAAGGATGACGTCACATCTGTATTTTAAATATAAATATTGAATACCACATTTCCCCAAACAAATTAGAGAAAAGGGGTATTCTTTAAATTGTGTTTTGTTTCGAAACCCCCTGAAACAACTGCTTCCTGAATTTGGTCCTTTAAAAATTCACAGCTACATGCACCAGCTGCCATTACGTGGAATTCGCTACCTGAAGATCTTTGTTCTAGTCCATCATTAGACTCCTTTAAATCTAGATTAAAAACATACTTATCTGAGAAATATTTGCAAAAGTGATTGTGTTTTTTGTAGCGCTCTGAGCATGACTATATGTGGAATTAGCGAGATATAAATGGCCTTATCATTTATTATATTCACATGACACAAGTAGTTCTGTTCCGGAGTCGAGACGGTCCAAGCATTAAAGTGTTGAATGTAGTTTTTCTAACAGCTGTATTATTTGATTCAACAGATATCCCGTTACATAAAGAATACGGCTGCCTTGAAGTGTCAAATCAATGAGGTTAGATAGTGTTGATTACGTTTGAGACCTTTCCACTTTTCAAATTGAAGGTCTACTACAGAAAGGGCCCATGCTGGAATATTGCAGATTAATGTTGATTTCTTTTGTGACCTTTAAAATTTAAGGCTCACTGATACAGCTAACGATGAAATGAAATCTTAACAGATTGCGTGTTCAGGGCTTAAATCTATTCACAACAACAAATTCAGATGCATGTCTAGAGGGGAGGTCAAAGTATCATTACTCATAAAACTCAATTAACTTTACTTGTTAACATTGCTAATAATATTACAATTCATGTAGGTCTAACGTTACTTATAAAAGTACCATTGACATTACTTGTACAAGTACCATTGACATTACTTGTACATGTACCATTAACATTACTTGTACAAATATAATCAACATTACCCATACAAGTACCATTAATATTACTCATACAAGTACCACTGACATTACTCATAAAAGTATTATCAACCGTACTCATAAAAGTTTAATTAATTTTACTCATAAACTGCAATTGTTAACATTGCTAATAAAAGTACCATTCATTTGACTCACAAATATTACTTATAAAGGTGCAATTAACATTACTCATAAAAGTAGCATTAACATTACTCATAAAAGTAGCATTAACATTACTCATAACAGTAGCATTAACATTACTCATAAAAGTAGCATTAACATTACTCATAACAGTACCATTAACATTACTCATAAAAGTAGCATTAACATTACTCATAAAGGTGCAATTAACATTACTCATAAAAGTAGCATTAACATTACTCATAACAGTACCATTAACATTACTCATAAAAGTAGCATTAACATTACTCATAACAGTACCATTAACATTACTCATAAAAGTAGCATTAACATTACTCATAACAGTACAATTGACTTTACTCATTAATATTACTCATAAAGATAATGTTAACTTTACTCAAAAAAAGAAAGAAAAAAAAGAAAGTAGAAATTATCATTACTCATAAAAGTTAATGTTACTCACAAACAAAAGTAGATATTAACATTACTCATAAAATGTACAATTAACTTTACTCAAAATAGATGCATCTGTTTATTCACACATTTAAATTTACTCACAAATTTTACAGATGACATGAAATATATCCATTGGATTCAAAATTCACACTCCTATTCACAGAATTTTCAAATTCTACTCACAGAATTCAAATTCCTACTCACAGAATTCATATTTCTACTCACAGAATTTTTAAACTTCTACTCACAGAATTCAAATTCCTACTCACAGAATTTTTAAACTTCTACTGACGGAATTCAAATTCCTACTCACAGAATTTTCAAATTTCTACTCACAGAATTCAATTTGTATTCACAGAACACGTATTTCGCCCTGTTTTTCAATT